GAAGGAATGAACTTCTCAGTACAAAAACAAAGCTGAAAAATCAAGAGGGGGCCGGAAAGATGGATGAATAGAAATAGAAGCAGGCAACCTAGGGAGGAAGTAGAAAGAATTCTGTTGTATTGAGAATATAGCAACCAATAGTATGAAACAAAATATATATAATTGTCAAATGGAAAACTAACTTGCTCTGTGTACCTTCACCCAAACCACAGTCAAACAAACAAATACACATACAAAGAAACTTTTGAATTAGTGTTCACATCTGCAACTGATCACGGAAAGGGTGCAGAATTGGGCAATGTTTCCCCACTGTGTACAGGGTCACCATGCCGTGGGAGCAGACTGATGACACTAACAGTGCCAGCACTAGGGGACAGGTTCAGTGGAAGGCAGGCACGTCCCCTTCGCCAGGATCTGTGTGTCTGTCTGTCAGGTCTCACGATGACTCAGAATCTCTTCTAAAGACTGGCCAGTGCTGAGTTTCTGGAACCTACAAGTCTTTTAAAATTCAGCAATTTTATACCACATGCCAATAGACTCCTGCAATTATATAAATTATTACATAATTATACAAATTATTGTATTATTATATAAACAGCTATATAACAAGAAGCACTGGTGGTGCAGCAGTTAAGAGTTTGGCTATTAACCCAAAGGTATGTGGTCTGACTCTGCCATCCACTCCGAGGAAGAAAGCCAGGCTGCCTCCTTAAAGATTGTTGCAGTTGTTGTTGTGTACCATCAGGTTAGAACCAACCTTTAGCTCCTCCCGCGGGTTTCAGAGGCAGTAAATTGCACGGGAGGAGACTGCCCATCTTTCCCATGCAAAGCAGCAGGTGGATTCAAACCATGTGCCTTTGGGTTGGCAGCTCAGCTCCTTATGACTAGGCCACCAGCGTTCCCTTCCCTAAATATTATAGCCTTGGAGACCTTTGTGGTCATTTCTACTCTGTCTTCATGGGTCACCAGGCATCAAAGCCAACTGACAGTAATGAATCCGGTTTGGGTTTAATTGCATAACAGATTTTATTATAATCATCAGACCACATATATCAAGCTTCTTATTCTACTCATTATCTAATAAGCGCTTTAAGGACAAGTCATCAAAGAATAAAGTTAATTACATGTAAAACTATGGTGATGGGGTGAAGAATGGAGACCCCCAGAGAGGCACCCAGCTTGCCTTTGCAGGATGGAAGATTCATTTCATTACTAATAACCCAACTAAAAATGCATAGGTAATCACCCAGCCCACACGCAAAGCTGTTTGTATCTTAATGCAAATTTTATTTTGTGTTACAATTTAAATTTTATTGTGACGCTTTCCTTCTTAATAGGAGGCAGATCTCTTTATGTTTATTATTTCAATGCTCCCTTTAGTTGTAGGATTTCTTCCTTTTTGGTAAGTGTGCTGAGACATGTTGTAGAAAATGGAACACAGAGGTATGATGTGAAAAGAGCTCAGAACCTCTCACTTGGTCAAGCTGGTGACCTGGAGCTGAAACAGGGCGCACAACAGGACACAAACTGCCAAGTGTCTGAACACATTGTTTGCTGGAATACGGTTACCTTGTTGATCTGCCCGGTTTGAGGTCTATAGAGAGATGTTCAATAACCTACAAGGGTTACTTTTCAAGTGAGAAGTTTCTGCCCACCATGAAGGACATGGAGGAAAATGTATTTTAATTAGTTTTACTATCAATATCCACAACTACTTTTTTTAAAACCCAAACATTATTTTTCTTAATCTTTTATGGAGAAAATGGAACACTTTTAGGATTACAAACAAAAACAAAGAAAATTAGAAAATCTGGAACACTTTGTTTTTACAAATATATAGGTACATGATTTAATCTTGCTGAGATTCACAGTCAACACTCTTGGTACCAGCAGAGAAGAGATCAAAACACATGCTGCACTGGGAGAACCCCTGTTAAGGACCTCTCCAAACTTCTAAGGAATTTCAAGTCTAAGGTGCACCTGATTAGCCATGGTCTTTTCAATTACTTCCTATGCACCTGAAAGCTGGGCAGTGAAAAGGATGACAGAAGAACCACTGATGCCTTTGACTTGTGGTACTGCAGAAGAATACAGAATATCTCTGGACTGCCAAGTGAACAAACGAGGATGTTTTAGAGAAAGTGCAACCAGGATGCTCCTTGGAGGCAAGGATGAAAAAAACATCTTCTCACATACACTGGGTGTATTGTTAGGAGGGGCAAGTCCATGGGAAAAGACAACATGTTTGGAAAGATGGAGAGTCAGAGAAGCAGAGGAAAACCCTCAGAGAGGTGGACTCACACAGTGACTTGAACAGTGGCTCAAGCATATAAAAAATGGTGAGGCTGGTGCCGAGAGGACACAGTTCAGATCTGCTGTTCACAGTGCTACTACGAGTGGTGCTTAATTCTATGGCATCACCACCACCAATACAACGTACATACCCATAAATATATATATATATATATGCACACACACACACCTCACCTGCATACAACACATGCTCTGGTGGCCTAGTGGGTAGAGAGTTGTACTGCCTCTCTGGTAGGTTAGTGGTTCGAATCCATCAGCTACTCCCTGGAAGGAAGATGGGCTATTGCGTCTCATACCTTTTACAGCCTTTGAAAACCTCCTGGATGGTCTGCTATGAGTTGGCTTCACCTTGATGACAAAAGATTTAAATTCTTTTAGTATATGTGCTGCCGAAGCGAGCACAAGCTTTAAATTTTTAATAAAGGCAGTTGTGCACGTGTGAGTGTGTGTGTGTGTGTGTGTGTGCATGCGTGCGTGTGTGACAAAGATCTAAAGCTTTCTAAAAATTAAAAGGTAAATAATCTTTAAAATAAATCATTCTGGCATTTTTAATTACACAGGAAGCCCCCAGATTACAAGTACATTTCATTCCTAAATTGATTTTAAGTCTAATCTGTATGTTGAAAAGGTATGGATTGATTCTAGCTTCCCTTAGTGAAATGTCTATCCGTATACAATAGACAGTATACAATAGACAGAACATTTCTAGGAAGGAAGAAAAGAAATACCCCAAATGCAGTGAAACAACCTTGTAGCACAGGGATAATAATGCTTTGATACATGCCACAAGCAATGCCCTTTTGCTGCTACGAATCATTGCATGTACCTTGAATTTTTATTAATAGTCATTATAGGAGACAAGTCTGTAATGTTGTTGTTGTTGTGTATCATAGAGTTGGAACTGACCCACAGCTGACCCTCCAGAGGGTTTTCAGAGGCAATTGATTACACGGCAGGAGACTGCCCATCCTTCTCCTGCAGAGCAGCTGGTAGATTTGAACCACCGGCCTTCGGGATAGCAGCGCAGCTTCTTTCCACTAGGCCACCAGAGCTCCTTAGTCTGTAACTGTGGGTTACACATAAATTGAACATCCCTAACTGGAGGAGTTTCTGGTTTTGATACCTGCATGGCTGGGGAAGAATCCTCTGATTCCCCCACTGCCCCTCGCAGCCAGCTGCTGGTCTGCAGAGACAGGAGGAGGCTGCAGGGACTTATGGGGAAGTAGAGGCAAGACTGCTACAGGGATGGATGGAGGGACCACCCAGTGCTCAGTCTCAGGGCTGTTCATCTACGCAGTCAACATGGACAGACTTTCTCATTCTCCCCACTACAAGCAGCTTAGTCTGAAGTCATCCCCTGCCCTGACTGCTCAAGTTCTACGGCGCACTCTCAGGGCAGTGGTTCAGGAAATAGGCTAACTGAAGGGGCGGGGACTTGAACCCGCCAGCCATTGGGGGATGGGGAGGGGACAACGCATCTGCTTGGAGCGCCTCTGGTAAGTTCACCTCTGACCTGCAGGTCAGGGTCAGCTCGACAGCGGAGGGGGAGCAGCTCTGAGTCGGGTCCACGGACGTGACACGATCCCAGGGGCATCGCTTACCTTGGGCATGCAGACCACCAAATGCCCCGTCGTCTGAGATCTTCTGGCTGAACTGCTGTCAGGTTTCACTTCTGCAGGAAGCACAAGTTGAAACGGCTGAAAACAGATGGGAGGTTCAGTCTACGATGAGGATGTATTACATGAGAGGGTTAGTTAACAGATACATCAATTGGGAAACTAGGCTGAAACTCTGTTGTTGTTATGTACCCACGAGTGGGAACCGATTCAGAGCTGATTCCTGGAGGGGAGGAATCACACATGAGCTAGACTCTACGTCCAAGAACTGCTTCACCTATAGATCTGCAGGGCATTCATCGGTCACAGATGGTACATTCTCCAGTGTCTGCACACACAGCACTCGTGGTTGGCACTTCCAGGTGAGTAATAGCTGGACTATTAGCTCTTTGTGGATGGATAATTATAGTCCTATCTATGTCAGCATTGTGCTTCAGAATAGATCTTGACATGTCCTTTTCGGTGATCAATGCCACCTACTTTGTCACTTATGGCACAACAGACCAGAGGTCTGATTCAAAAGGCCACCACCAGTCCGTTTCGGCTCAGTGCTGCCGAGGATACTGATCTCCATGCATCTCATTTGTTTACAATGTCCAGTTTTCTGAGAGTCATGCTCTGGATACACTGCACATTCTGGCTGGGCAGGGATGTCCGCAGCTGTTTCTTCTCATTTTGAGCCATGCCACACCAGCAAGAGAAAGTCGTGCAGGCTTCCCTCCCTCCTTGGGATAAAGTCGATCTCACTGAGGGGGCAGTGTTTCCCTCGTGTTTTGAATGTCTTTCTGTCTGAAGGACCCACCTATAGACACTCCAGCGTCCATAGGGGTCTGCAAATCAGCTCACTAGTGGGATCCTTTCCTCCCCGTATTTAAGACTATTTCAGAGAGCTGAGGCAACCTGATATAGTCTGAGCCTGGGATTCCGTGATTGGCGGTTGCTGGGGGCTACGGCGCAGACTCACCTTCCCTTTGACCATTACTCTCACGTAAGTGGGCTGCACATCCACGTCGATTAAAGAGGTATCCATGTACCTTCGGGAAAAAACACACAGGAATCTCACCATTCTCGAAAAAGGGCGTGGACTTCACAGAGATGCTAGTACAAATTCACATTTACAGGATGAGCCGAGCTTAAAATGACTAGGCTAAACAGGTCTTTTAAAATTAGTTTTAAATGAATCCCCAGACTAAAGGAAATTCAATGAATCAGCAAGTTCCTTTTTCGACCCACGAGCACGTTTGGCATTGATTGCCTTCACCCAAAAATACCTAAGGCTTGAAACCCCAGAGGTTCAGACAAACAGCCTGCTGCTCCTCTCGCCTCAATATTTTAAGCTCCTTGTCATCAACAGGGAGCTCTGGTCACCTAGTGGTAAGAAACTGTGCTGCAATCTCGAAGGCAGGCGGTTCAAATCCACAAGCTGCTCCACAGGAGAAGGCTGGGCAGTCTCCTCCCATGTGATTAACTGCCTCTGGAAGCCTGCCACAGATTTAGCTACAGATCGTTCTGACTCAACAGTACACAACAACAACAACAACCGTGAACAGCCAGGCTGCTGAATCCAGAGCGTGGGGCCTGCACCAGCAGCTCCTGCTTCTCCACGGCTCTCAGATCTCCGTCCTGCAGCTGCCCAGCTGCGGCTCCACTGGCCTCTCTCCCTGAGGCCAGCACATCCAACTCCATATGGAACACCTTCCACACACCAGGCAGTGACCCCAGGTTCCCAGGGCTCCCCTTGACTCACGAGCCACAGGCAATATTTTTATGAAGAACAAATGACAAAAATCTACTTATCGTCCCCAACACATTAAAAAAAAACAACCCCACAAAACAACAAATAAAAGAAAACCACTCCAGATTCCTACTCTAGCAATTCCACAGGGCGGTGTGGAACTGTCCCATAGGGCTTGCAATTCTAGAATTCTTTATAGAAGCAGCCTGCCTCTTCTTTCTCTGTGAAGAGGATGGTGTGTTTGAACCGTTGACCTTTTGGTTCTAGATGAACACATAACCTATACGTATTGTTGTTGCTGTTGTTAGGTGTCATCGAGCTGGAATCAACTCATAGCTGACCCTCCAGCAGGTTGACAGGCAGAGATCATCCCGCAGGAGGAAACTGTCCGTCTTTCTCCCGTGGAGCAGCCCTTGGGTGCGAACCATGTGCCTTTAGTTTGACTGTAATTTCTACCACTAAAGCGAGCAGAGCTCCTAAAACTCTCCATGTTGTTGTTAGGTGTTATCAAGTCGAGTACAACTCATAGCAACCCAATGAGTAACCAATCACGTGGTGCTGGAGAAGAACGCTGAAGAGCCCATGGACGGCCAAAGGAACAGATACGTCTTGGAGAAGGTACAATCACAGTGCTCTCTGGACGCAAGGATGAGTAAGCTTCGTCTCACGTGCTTTGGGCATGTTGCTAGGAGACGTTATTCCTTGGAGAGGGACATCATGCTTGGGAAGGCGGAGAGGTGGAGAAAGAGAGGAAGACCCTCAACCAGGTGATTTGACATGGTGATTGCGGCAATGCGCTGTAGTGTGTCAGAGATGGTGACACTATACTTTGTTGTTGTTGTTGTTGTGTACCATAGAGTCAGAACTAACGCATAGCTGACCCTCCAGCAGGTTTTCAGAGGCAGTTAATCACACAGGAGAAAACCGCCCATCTTTCTTCCATGAAGCAGATGGTGGCTTTGAACAGCCTGTCTTTGGGATTGCAGCACAACTTCTTGCCACTAGGCCACCAGAACTCCCTACAGTCTATGTTGTTGTTACGTGCTATCGAGTCACCTGCAATTCACAGTGACCTTATGTTCAAAAGCCCTAAACCCTACTTTATCCTGTGCCAACTGTATTGTCTCTGATACACCTACCCCATTACCCCAGTATTTAAATCAATCCATCTCATCAAGGGTCTTCCTCTCCTGCACTGTCCCTCCATAGGCCCAAGCATAACATCCCTCTCCAAGGACTGGTCCCTCCTTGCAACATGTCCAAAGTATGTCAGATGGAGCTTCAGAATCCTTGCCTCCCAGGAGCAGCCTGGTTTCTCACAGCAGTTCATTCTCACAGCAGTCCATGGTACATAGAGAGTGTTAATAAAATATCATTATCTCTCATATAAGGGTGTGCTGGTGGTCTAGTGGTAAGGTGCTGTACTTCTAACACAAAGGCATATGGTTCGAATCCAGAAGCTGCTCCATGTGAAAAACATGGACAATGTCCTTTCATTTATAGCCTCTGAATATCCCACCTGCTGGAGGGTCGGTTCTGCGTTGGGTCAAGTTCTTTGGCACACAACAATAGCCATCATTCATTTAAGGAGCTCTGCTTCTGTTGTGTGTTGGATGCACTGGTCCCTCTGCAGGAGAAAGATGGGCAGCCCCCTACCATGAGGGCTTACAGCCCAGGAGACCTGACGGGCAGTCGCCACGGGTCAGATCCGACAGCAGCTTGGGCTGGGTGCTTTATCTGCACACTGTGAGTGGTGCAGACGGTTGGTGCCCTCGGTTGTTAAACAAAAGGTTAATGGTTCAAGTCAACCCAGCAGTGCCTGAAAAGAAAGCCTGAAAGTCTACTCCTGAAAATCCAGCTCCAGAAACCCTGCGGGGCATGGTTCTTTCCTGACACACACAGAGAGGGGTATCATGAGTCAGTGTGAGCCCAAGGGCACCTGGTCCTCTTATCTGATTTAATAAAAAGGTTACAACCATAACATAAAACAGAATCAAGAGTTACTTTAATTTCAGGTTTACTTATCTATGCCTGTAACAGATTAAAGTTGGTAACTAAACAGTTGGTTTTTGAAACATCAGAAAGATGGATGTATCTGTTTCCATTGAGGTTTACAGCAATGGAAACCCCATTGGGAGACATCTACTCCGTCCCGTAGGATCCTGTAGAGTCCTGTAGGGTTGCTGTGAACCTGTAGTGGTTCTCTTGTCGTCACTGTGCACCACGGAGTCAGAACTGACCCATAGCTGACCCTCCAGCAGGTTTCCAAAGGCAGTTAATCGTGTGGCAGGAGATTGCCCATCTTTCTCCCATGGAGTAGCTGGTGGATTTGAACTGCATACCTTTGGTTTTGCAGTGCAATTCTTTACCACTAGGCCACCAGAGCTTTCTGGCATTGGGTTTAGGAGGCGACATATCCTTCCCCTGCACTGTAGGATTTCTGCTGGTCTGCTTTCTCTGTCCGCACCCATCTTTGCCTGTTCTGTGAAGAGCGCCTGACTTCTCTCCCTTCAGTTTTTGGTGTTCTTGCCACCAAATCCCAAATCTCTCTCTCTCTCCCCCCAGGCTCCACCCAGCCCTGCCACTTCTCTTTACAGCTCTGCTCTCTGGCGTGGCTGGGCAGTAGAGTCTGGCCCCGCTCCTGTCAGCCTCTTTGCTGGGCCAGCAGCACCACGAAAGCATTGGCTGTACTTAGCATATGCCAGCTGCTGCCTCCCAGTGCCTGGCACGGAGGAGGCATCCTGTAGGTATTTGCTGAACCAAGTCAAGAAGCATAAGCATCAATGGATAAATGAATTCTGAATTCATGTATTCACCCTTGTGCCAATATAGATGACAAGGGATGTTAGCATAACTCCTTTAGAGTGAATCATGGCGAGAGAAGGGTTTTTACTACAGACAGTAAAAATATCACCTCCTCTTAGAAATGTATGCGCCCGAGGATGAGCCAACTTTCCACAGGACGGCGAGCATGCAGTGGTCAGCAGAGCCACGCAGAAGCAGGCCTGCACACCCACTGAGGCCAGCACGTGGAAGGGCCTTAGGTGCATGAGACGGAGAATGTTCAGCTGGAACCAGGGGGGAGGAAGGTGTGAACTCAGCAGGGAGGGAACCAGCTCCAGGGATCCTCAAAAGGACAGACACGTCTCTCTTGGAGCAAGTGCAACCAAGGTGCCCCTTAGAAGCAGGAATGGTGAAATCCCATCTCACGTACCTGGGGCATGTTGTCAGGGGCCAGTCATTGAAAATGGCTTCATGTTGAGAAGGGTGGAGGGTTAGAGAGAGAGAAAGTCCTTCGACAAGATGGGTTGACACTGTGGCCATATCGGTGGACTTGGGCATATCTGACATGGTGAGGAAGGTGCAGGAAGACAAGGTCACTCTCTTGCTCAGAGGTCGCTGTGAGTCATAGTTCACTTGATGGCACCTAACAACACCTGTGCAGGTTACGCAGAGATCCAAGTACAGTGTACCTGCCGGCTGCCACCACGTTGGCCCAGCTCACGGTGACCTCATGCAAAGAGAGCAAAACACCTCTCGGTCCTGCAGCAGTCTCACGAGTTGATAGGATCCACGGGGTTCTCATTGGCAGGTCTCCGAATGGCGATTACAAGGCCTTCTCCCTGAGTCTGTCTTGGCCTAGAAGTTCTGCTGATATCTGTTCAGCATCATAGCAATATGCAGACCTCAACTGACAGACAAATGGTGGCCGTGCTGGGACGGGGGAGGCGGGGTACTGGCTGGGAATCGAACCTTCATCTCCCACATGGTAGGTGAGAATTCTTCCACAGAACCCACAACGTCCCTCCACCTTCCCACAGTAAATGACCCTAGAACACTTGAAGACTCAGAAAAAGAGAAAAGCATTCATTCATGTCCATGCACATAAATGTTCATACATCCGTGACATTCACATCTGTTCATTCCCTCCTGTGTACTCAGGGCACATTCTGTGGAGGCGTGTGTCGCTGGAAAAGACTTCATGTTGGTAAAAGTGGGCTGTCAGTGGAAGACGGGAAGACCCTCAACGGGATGGACTGACTCAGTGGCTGCAGTAATGGGCTTATGCACAGCAGAGACCCTCAGTGAAACGGATGGACACTGTGACTAGGAGGATGGACTGAAGTGTGCCAGAGATGATGAGGACAGCCCAGCATAGAAGAGTTCACACCTGCTGTTCAGACGGTCACTATGAGTTATACCTCACTCAATGGCACCCAACAACAACAATTAAGTAGGGGGGACGCAGAAGAAGTTGTGTCAGTGTCTGAAAAGAACCAAGTCTTCAAACTTACTGAAACTCTGCCTTGGTGTGTATACATAATCGCCTTGATTTAGACCCTCAGAGCGTAAGCTCCTCCAGGCCCCGCTTCTGCAGAGGGGCTGGGTCGGTTTGAACCCCCAACCTTTCGTGAGCAGATAAGCACATAAACATTGTGCAGCTAAGGCTCCTAGAACTACCCGAGAAACAGACATTCTTCAGTTCACAGCCATGCAAATGTGGATTGAGTTCTTTTTCCTTTAACTTCACACTCTAAAAAATGCTAAGTTCTCCATATTAAAAAAAAAAAAGCAACAATCTTCCTTTAACTGCATGACCAACTAAACTCTATTTCAACATGTATCAGAACTCAAGCGATTATGACTGAGAATGAAAACAGAAATGTCAGTTAGTGGAGACGTAACGGGAGGTCTTTACCTATAAACGGCAAGATCTAGGATGATCCGGTTACGTTTCTCATCATCTTTCAAAGAGAAGTCAAGCCTAAAAAAAGAACACATTTGAGGGGAAAATTATTTCCCTAACAAAACTATAGAAATCATCCCAGAACAGAAACAAAAGGGAAACTGACTACGCATCTCCAATGACAAATGTGTTTTGGTAGCTGGATAATACGTCTATGTTCACTGTCAAATTTCCACAGAAACCTACAAGACGCTGGTAAGTGAGGAGTATTTGCAGCACCACCACGGGGTCCAGGGGCACAGTCCTTAGTGTTCTGCTCAAGTTGCACAAAAGGTTCTGCTTCTCTAGTGCCTTGAATCCACCAGTCATTCCTTGGGAGAAAGATGGACCAACTTACTCCTGTTCCCTTTAAGACTCACAGCCCAGAAATCCAAGGGAGGATCCCTGATGAATCAGAATGACTCAACAGCAATGAGTTTTGAGTTTAAGGTAAAATACACCCCCCAAATTAGCATTGGTGCGGAGACAGAGACATCTGGTGGCTAAAGTTTTTGTTTCCATTTCGAGTTTGCTTGAAGCTAAAAAACAACACATTGCAAATCTTTATGGAAAGCTACAAGAAGGAGCGTTTGTTTTGTTTTCCTGTGGCTGGCATTCTGTCCCTTAAGTGTTAACATTCTTGTTTGCCTTTTCCTTTGTCTTCTTTCCCCCCCATCCTTCTTTGATTGTTAATCTTCCCACCTCCCAGGAAAAGCTTTACACACTGCACACATCAGTTACCTCCACACATCAAGAGTCTGAGACTCAGAGGGGTGAACATGGCTGGGACAGTGGCCAGCTGAGTCCACATGAGATCCTAAAACCCTCGCATTTTCCACTGTCCCCTGAGCTGGTTCAGCTCCCATGCTGTCAACGTATTACTCAGAATTGCCAGATCAATTTTATTTTCAGCACATTTACATATTGCATGAGTCTGTAAAATACCTAACTTGACAATCTTTAAGGGTGCAAGCTAAATTGTTATGAAAATGTGGTGTTAGCTACAAGGCTGGCCATCTCTGTCTGTTATGATAGTCAGTGTCTCAAGGCTCGCCACCACCCTGCTGTGCAGAATTTCAGAGGTTCCTCAAGCAGCCAATGCACTCATCTCATCTCACCTCACCTCAGGAACTCAAGCTGCCACCTTGGCTTGGCTTGTTCATGTCCTGCCTTCCCACCAGCAAGTCAACTCTCCCTTGACATATCCCTTGAGAGGCGACGTCAGAGAGGTTTTCTCTGGCAGATGTTTCTGTTCATTCCTCTACTTATTTCTGCTCCTCTATTCTTCATCATAGTGTAACACTTGATTTTAACTGGGCACAGATCTCTGTAGAAAGGCTTCCCAGCTACATGAGCAAGGTGGGTTAAACTGTGTCCCTTAGATGACAGGAGAATAATCAATGCCTTTGAGTGATGGTGTTGGGGAAGAGTACTGAATATCCCATGACTGCAAAAAGAGCAAAGATGTCTTGGAGAGATGGCAAGCAGGGGCACTCCGTGGAGGCAAGGATGGTGAAGTTTCTCCTTACGTACTTCGCATATGTTGTTAGGAGGGGGCAGTTCTTGGAGAAGGACATGATGCTTGGTGACGTGGCGGGCAAGAGAAAGGAGACCTTCACTGAGATGGACTGACAGGGGACTGTAGCAACAGGCGCAAGGATATCAGAGATGATGAGGATGGCCCAGGACAGAGCAGAGTTCAGACCTGTCCTCAGTGTCACTATGAGTTGTAGTTGAAGGCACATAACAACAACAATCCTCTCTATAGTACTAAAAAGCAATGATGTCAGTCTAGAGACTAAGGTGCGCCTAATCCAGGCCATGGTCTTTGCAAGTACTTGCTATGTATCAGAGAGCTGGACAATGACTATGGATGACAGAATAATCGATGCCTTTGAATTGTGAGGCTGGAGAAGAGTCTTGAGCATACCATGGACTGCCTAGAAGAGAAATAGTTCTATCATCTAGAGAGTGAAACCAAGTTTCTCCTTGGAGGCTTGGATTTTGAAGCTCACATACTTTGGGCACGTAGCCTGGAAAGATTGGTCCTTGGAGAAGGACATCATGCTCAGAAGGGTGGAGGTACAGTGTAGGAGAAGACCCCAGATGAAGTGGGTTGATACAGTAACTGGGGCAATGAGAGCTGGTGTGTCTGAATTAGTGAGACTGGCTCAGGAAAGGGCAGAGGACTCAACAGCACATAACAACAGCAACAATGTGAGAGCTATGCAGTGATCTTCCATGATTTGTAAGAAGGCTACACCTCTTAATCACATCACAGCTCTAATATGATACAAAGAGAAATTGCCTAGGATGTGACCTATGAGATAGTGTCATTCATCCTACAAAAACACAGGGCTTGGGGGGAATAGAGCCAAGAAGGGGACTCAGGGCCAGTAAGAGTGGAACTCCAGACCACTAAGAAAGAATTTCCAGGAGTGGGACTCCTGTTTTTGTGCCCAGGCCCCTATGCAATGTGGCTCTTTGACCTGGAGATTTCCCAGCAATGCCTGGACTACAGATGCAACAGGAGGCAAGAAACTTCCTCATAATCAAGACAAAGAGAGAGGGCCTTTTCCTACAGCTGTCCTGCTGAACTTGGACATCCAGCCTTCTAAACCATAAGAGAAGTGTCTTTTTTTAAATTTTATTTTTAATTATTAATTTAAATGAAAATTTACAGAGACTTTGGATTTCCATTCATTCATTGTTGCACTTTTCCCCCTCCCAACCCTCCCCCCTTGTACACTGCCCTCTTGGAAAAGTAAAAGAAAAATTCTTTCATTGTTTGCAATCCCTCCCCCCAGGTCCACTCTACCATGTAGCCTTCGCTTTAGACTCCTGTTATGACAAAAATACCTAATCACAGATCCCTTTTAAATAGTTTTCTCCCTCATCTGTTCCAATGCAGTATACATTATTGAACCCATCTTTCTCAGTCTCCCCCCAATCCTGATGTCAGTCCTGTTTTACAACAGTGGCACCATGAAGTATTTGTCCTTTTGTGACTGAGATATTTCACTCAGCATAATGTCCTCCAGGGTCACCCATTTTGAATAATATTGCATGAGTACCTTGTTTTTCAATGAAGTGTAGTATTCCATTGTGTGAATATACCACAGCTTATCTATCCATTCTTTTGTTGATGGATACTTAGGTTGTTTCCAACTCCTTGCTATTGTGAACAAAGCCACGATAAACATGGATGTGCATATATCTGCTTGGGTGGCAGTTATGGTCTCTTTCGGGTATATTCCCAGTAGTGGAATTGCTGGGTCAAATGGTATCTCTATTTCCAACTTTTTGAGAAAGCGCCATACCGCCTTCCCCAGTGGTTGCACCATTTTACATTTCCATGGACAGTGAATAAGGGTTTCCGTTTCTCCACAACCTCGCCAGCATTTGTTGCTTGCTGTTCTGTTAAATTTTGCTATTCTGACTGGGGAGAGAAGATATCTCAGAGTTGTTCTGATTTGCATTTCAAAACCATAAGAGAAGTTTCTGCAGGCTCAAGTGACCCACTCGTGTTATCTGTTACAGCAGGACCAGATGTCAAGTCAGAGCTGCCTTGGAGATGAACCTCCATTGGGTTTCTCACCTTGTCAGTCACATGGAAGGAGATTGGCCATCTTTCTCCCCTGAAGCCATGGTGGATTTGAACCAGCAGACAGGCATGACCTCGTGTAACTGCCTAGGGACCACACCACCATCACTCCCTCCACAACCTCCATAACCTCTAACACATTTTCACTTCCTTCCCCAAAAGCGTGAGCCAGCACAAGGTCAGGTCTCCCTCCAGACTCACTCACTTGGGCTCATTCACATTCAGAGCTTTGCCATCCTCTGTGATCAGAGTCCTGGGTGGTTTCACTTTCTTCTTCTTTTCACTTTAGGTTGGGAGGGGGTAGAAACAAGAAGAGAGAACATAAAGTAATTACATTTTTTTCAAAATGGTTGAAGAAGCATTATGAAGACCTTTTGAGTACAGCGGCAATGTGCTGTGGTGAAGTCCTTTCCCTCACGCTGAATCAGGAACCGACAGTCACGTCGGGTGTCTGCCTGACTGTTGCTCTACCTGCAAAACACAGAGGTGACCGGAACACGTATAGAGTGTTCCAGGGAGAGGGCCTCCTTCTCGTGAGATAGCCATGAATATTTAAAACAGTCTATTTTATGCACGAGTTACCCAGATAACTGTCAATTTCCCATTTCCTTTTGTGTAGACAGCTTCTACTTTAGTTAAAATGACTACTTTGAAAAACACCCAGTGGAATACAATCTCCAGAAATAAAAACGCCAGCACCGAGGATGTAGGTAAAAAGATGTCAATCGTGACACTCTTTGTAACCGCAGAGCCAGTGACTGCCCAGCAGTGGCAGAGGGCAGGATCAGCTGTAGCAGACAAACCCTGCGAAGTGCTGTGCGGCTGCGCAGTGGCGGCTGGCTGCTCCCCTCCTGGCCTGCTCAAGTATCCGCGGTGCATTTTGTGAGGACGTGTACACACACGGGCATCTAAACTTGTGTCTATTTTTTTTTAAATGTGATCTAGCAGAATTCCGAAATTATCCGACAGTAGCATTAACATCAAACACAAGTAACATTTTGCTGAAGATAAATAAAAAATGGTTGGAGCAGTGTATGAACAGGGAGCTGCCAGGAATTCAAGCTGTATTCGGAAGGTATGGAACACAGACTATCATTGCTGGCATCAAATATGTCCCAGCTAAAAACAGAGAATTCTAAGAGGATGTGTCCTTGTGTTTTATTGACTGCAAACATACTCAGCTGGGTGGATGGCAAAAATAACAAACAATGGTACAGGATTTGAGACCACTTAACTGTGCTCATGTGGAACTTGGACACAGAACACGAAGTCATTCAAGCAGGACAGGGGAGGGCCACGTGGGTCAAAGCCCTTTCACTCTCCTGAAGCTGATGCTGAGGAAATAATGCAGGAGTTGCTAAGAGCCGTAGTCGGCTTGATGGCTCATACCAACAACGACAACAGCTGCTAAGCATAGCGTGAGATACTGTACCTTGTTTGCGCCATGGCCATGCAATTAGAGTGTCTCAGAGCTCCTGGATCACACTCTTAATATTATGAACAGCAAACATTCCTCTAAGTGATAGGTTCTATCTAGAACAAAGTGATAGGTTCTAGACTTGAAAAAATGATGGACTAATGTAAGACCTGCCTCCAAAAACACAAACCTGGAAATAATAGCTAAGATATGAGAGCTTCTGAGAAAGAATAACTATTCAAAAGCATACACATATTGTTTAATGTGCAAGAAAGTTTAATTAGGAAAAGATAAGGTCTAAAAAACGCATTTCTAATCACTGGTTTTATAGACAAAAGGAAAACAAACACAGGAGAAGGTCTGACCTAGACCATCCTGTTACCATGGTGTGTACCATCGGGTCAGAACCAACCCACAACAGACCCTCCAGTGGGTTTTCAGAGGCAGTTAACCGCACAGAAGGAGATTGACCATCCTAATCTCTAAAGCAGTATTTGAACCACGTACCTCTGGGATTGCAGCACAGCTTCATACCACTAGCTCACATTTAAAAGGCTAGAATGCTTAAAAAACAACAAACAACCCCACTTCAAATGACAGAATGAATATGAATCTAAAGAAGGTGGTGTGAAGCTAATGCATGTTAGTGGATACAAGTCAACAGAAATCTGTTAGAGGGAACGGCAAGTCTGTCTGAACACAGAAATGTGTGGAGTACTCTGGTCATGAAAATATATTCTATGGTGCTGTCATCTCAGTGAAAAGGGGAAAGGAAATACCTTAATTTTTCCTGGTTTTCCCGTTGTTTTTCCATATGTCTAAGGGTTTCCAGTCTTGATTCTGGAGTAAACAATGAGGGCTTGTTCCAGAAGGCCAGGTCTTCTTCGATTTCATCCAGTTTCTTTTCCTGACACTGGTCTTCTTGTATCTCGGATGCTGAGAGGTGCTCTCGGTTGTCTGAAGAAGGCGGGCTGGAGAGACGCAAGCATGAGGCTGCACATGGAAGCTTCTAGAAAACATCCCCTAAATCATCTATTCTTTACTTTTCATAAATGCAGGAGAGGGAGGCCCCGGATGAGATGGATTGATACAGTGACTGGGGTAATGGCGGTTGGTGTGTCGGAATCAGTGAGACTGGCTCAGAACAGGGCAGGATTCAGAGCTGCTGTGCACAGGGTCACTATACATCACAGGCGACTCAACAGCACTTAACACACTAACAGGTTTGGAAGCAGGAGCAGCATCCACTTCCTAAATAACACGCCTCTGGAAACTCTATGAACTTTGATAAACGTCATTAGTTGTAGAGGGGCTTCAGGCCTTTTGTTCATAGGGTCACTAGGAGTTGTGCTTGACTCAAAGGCAATCAACAACAACAAATTTATATCACAATCAAAGTAGGTTTATCCTAGAAATTCAACGATGATCAATACTAGATAATTTGTCAATGTGATTTAATTCTTTACCAGAAAAACACGATTATCTCGATATAGGATGAAAAATAATTTCATAAAAATGCATTTCCAGATACGATAAAGTGCTGTATTATGTAGAAATAGAAGGAGCCTTACTCATCTTTACCAAAACCAGGAGCCCTGGTGGTTCAGGGGGTGAAGTGCTTGGCTGCTCACCAAAGGTTATAATTCGAGTCCACAGCTTCTCATCAGGAGAGATGAGGTTGTCTGCACGCACAGGGAGTCCCAGTCTTTTTTTTTTTTAATTATTATTAAATTTTATTAGTTTTAATGAACATTTACAGAGATTTTGGGTTTTCATTCATTCATTGTTGCACTGTTTTCTCTACCCTCCTCCCCAGTTCGTTCTTCTTCCCCCCCCACCCGAATGTCTGTTTTAATTGTCCAATTGCCACAGTGCTTGTCAAAGCCAGTTCTGATTAATCTCCTTTGTCAGTGTGTTCTTTGCCATTCCCTATCACTCCTCCCTGAGAGAGACTTCACCCTGATTCATAAGGAAAAGGGGATGGCGTATTCTCTTAGCTACTTCCTGCTGAAAAGGGACGCTGTGGGTTTCAGGGTGAAGATCTTCTCTCACTACTCTAAAGGGCCCCTTTGGCAGTAGGAAACACATAGACTATTATGGAGATTGATTTTGGAATTTAGATGCACTGTTATCAATTGTGCTTAGCCGTACATGTTCATATCCTTGAAGATGTATCATGGAAGTGTTGCAGCCTAGAAGACAGAAATTTAACTAAGAAGTTAAAAGTACATGAATCAAAAATTAAAAAGCAATAATATTCCGAGTAGTATTTTTTTTTTTTTTTTTGGCAGCCCTGTGGGGTTGGTCTACTTTGTCCTATAGGGAGGGCAACTAGGCAGTCAGAGTCCATCAGAATCGACAGTGGCTGGCATGGATGGCAGTGGCTGGTGTAGCAAAACCCCACAGTCATCGTCAGACTTCCTCCTGAGCCATTTCTTTTGGAAGATTTTCCTTCCTCTAAAACTCACACACAGCACACAGTGCTCCCCTCTCTCTGCCGCTGCTCCAGCCCCCAGCAGAGGTCTTCCCAGACACCACAGAGGAAGTAAAGGGGGCATGACAATTGGCAAACCTTTTCACAAACATGCTACATAGGGAACACGGGAGAGTCCTCAGACCAACCCTTGCATCTTTCTTCAAGGGTAAGATTGCTTAGGGCAATATCATTATTTAGAATTCCTTTGTCTCTTTATCCATGAGCAGAACCAAGTCCAAGTCCATTTTTAAAATCTTATTCTGCAAGATAGTGAATAAATCCAATAAAAAAAGGGTGTAAGACCTTTATTGAGAAAATTACAAAATCTTATTGCAGGAGTCAGAAGGCGGTCTAAGTAAATACGGAGAGTTATTTCAGAATTCAGCAAGGAAGACATAAATGTCATGAAGATGCTGAATTTCTCCCAATTAACATAAATAGTAAATGCTGTTTTAATCACAATCCCACCGGGGAGTTTTAGGGAACTTGGTTGGTGGGTTCAAATTTTCATACAGAAGAGTAAAGAACAAAGAACAGCCAAAATAATTTTGAACGTGAGAATATCTTCTACCAGATAGCAGGATTTACTGTGAGGCAAAGTCAAGTCCACTGCCACTGAGTGGATTCTGACTCATCAAGACCCCATAAGGCAGGGTAAAACTGCCCCACCGGGTGCCTGAGACAGTAATCTAGACAGAAATAGCCTCCTTCAGCTTTGTGCTGTGGGTTTGAACCACTGATCTTGCAATAAACAGCTCAACACTTAACCCAGTATAGCAATACAGCTAGATAAGATGCAATACCCAATAAAATACTAATACAATATCCAATACAACTAGACAAATTCAAACCATGAGGGGTGTTCCCAGGGAGCGACGTTTAGAGCTGAGGTCCTGACCTGTGAGCACATTGTAGTTATGTTATTTTCCACCGAACTGCCTCTAGTCAGAGCGCTCCTGTATCCATCAGATCGGAACCCTGCCAAGGTCTCCTCTGTCCTGTCTCCCTGCTGTGCTTAGACCTGTCGCTGCAGTCACCGGAGGTGTGGTGGCGAAACAGCTGACAGACCAGCAGAAGGAGAAACTCTCCTATCACTGAGTCGACTGTAACTGAGAGCATCCCACAAGACAGGGTTTCCCACACTCCCAGGGAGTGCTGGTGCTGTCGACCACAGGGCTTTGAGCAGGAAACTCCTAGCAATTTGAATCAACCAGCAGTTCCAAGAGAAACAGATGGGACATGTCCAGCCTTGGAAGTGAGGAATGAAATTCTTTTTTGTCCTATATTGAGATAATTAGGAAATTTCCAGCCTTGGAAATCCAAAGGAGGGTCAACAGTGAGTTGGTTCTAACTGATGGCAAAAAATTTGTGTCTTTGGTTCTTGTTTTAATTTTTATGGAAGTAGACTGCTGAGGTGGATTGAGGTATCGTTCTCCTTCAGAGTGGCTATGGATTTGAACCACTGGCCTTTCGCTAAGAGGGCGAGCTCTTAACTACTGTGCCACTGGGGCTTCTGGGAGAACAGTACTCAGGAGTAGTTTTTCTGAATGATACAGACAATTAGCTATCTTGCCTGGAGGAGATGGACTGACACAGTGGCCGGGCTGATGGGAGTAGGTGTGCTGTAACAGTGAGATTGGCTCAGGCTAGGGCAGGGCTCAGAGCTGTTGTATATAGAGTCACTATGAGTTGTGGGTGACTTAATGGCATATAACAACAATTAAAATATGTAAAACAATTAGTACCTTACGCAAACCCTTACACAGAAAGAAAAAGGCTTAAACAGAAAACAAATAATCTTTAGAAAAAACTGGAAGAAAAAGTACGTTTATGACACCCAGGTAATGAAGAATTTAATAAATGAGATAAGAAATACAAAAATAAGTTTAACTATATTAACATACTGACATTTTAGAAAACAGAACCATTTAATAAGATTAAAACCTGAGCCCAGGCAGGGAGAAGATATTCTCAAAGCACATAGCAACCAAAGAATGTAAATACAGAATATAAAAGAGCTATAAATCAACAACAACCAACCTTATAACTTGTTTAAAATAGGCAGAGGGTAAAAACGGAGGAAGTCCGAGGCGTCTATGAATACCTAAGTTTTCAAGCTCACTTTCTCACTGCCATCAAGTTAAGTCAGAAGCAAATCACAGCCGACCCCCTGTTGAGTTTCCAAGGAGGTAAATGCATGGAGGCCACTCCCCCTGTTTCTCCAGGAAATTGGAGCCCCTGGTGGATTGGAGCCCTCAGAAAGACTTGTCCTTTGGGCTGGCAACTCATCTCCCTAACAGACTAGGCCACCAGAGTTCCCTCTTCAAAATCACTAGTCATTTTCAAATTCACTAGCAATTACAGTAATCCAATTGGACAACAATCAAAGTACCATATTACAAATTACTTGCCAATATTTTTGAGTTTGCTATTATTGGTGAAACATTCTTCTAGGTCGTGTAACCCTGGTATGTCTACTTGCTATATACAGAGGTAACTCGTGGTTGCTGTGATACTGAACACTGTGACACCGATGTGTCAAATGTGAGAATGGTTACCCATGGTGGACAGTGTTTGGTGGAGCTGCCAGATTAAAACAAGCTTGAAAGCAGGAGAGGCATCCACTTCCATAATGGCTTGCTTCCAGAAACCCTATGAACCTGGAGAAAGGATAAAAGTTATATCGGTGTCCAGGTCTTTCATTCATAGGGTTGCTATGAGTCGCCTCTGACTCGACGGTACTTAACAACAACAACAACTCTCATATATACATGCAATACGAGTATACAATAATGTATGACTTCCTCAGCAAGCAGTCTGGTGATTCAGAGAAAGCTGGAAATAGGTTTGTGACCTGGGACAGGGCAACGCCACTGCTTGGCACATGCTGCTGTTATGTACCGTCGAGTTGGAACCAAGCCATAGCTGCCCTTCAGTGAGTTTTCAGGGATAGGAAATTGCGAGCCCCATACCCTGGAGACATCTGCATAAGGATCCATATGTCGCGTGTCACATTGCCGAGGAGCTGAGAGAGGGAGGACTGCTGAGATGGACATCTAGAGGGGACTGGCCCAGCTGGTGGGCAGGGCCGCGCAGGGGGCTACCACTGATGCCTCTCTGGTAGGTCAAGGCCAACGAATAAATCCTGAGCATGTTATTTCTGGGATGACTTGTGTGTTATTCACCCCATGGAATGCTGTTCCACAGTTAAAACGAATGCACTAGTTCTACAAGCCCACATGTGCACAGACTTCATAAGCTTCTCAGTGAATGACAGTCAGACAGTATTCCTGCTTCAGAGAAACACCACAACACTCCCGGTTAAGGAGGCGTCAAGTCTGTACAGAGCTGGGCTGCCAGTGCAAAGATGCCCCCTCACTAGGGACTCAAATCCACCAGCTACTCCATGGAGAAAAACAGGCAATCTCCTCCTGTGAAATGCACAGACTCGAAGACCTGCAGAAGGTTCAACTATGAGCTTGAGGGGCTGTTTAAAATTTTTTTTTAAATTAATTTTTTTAAATTATGGAGTAAGAATATTAAAGACATTGATTCCAGGATAGTGGACATCACTAGGGAAGAAGTGAGGAATGAAATTTGAGCAAAACACCTAGGAGGCATCTATTCTATCGATGAAAGTTTGTCATTTGTATACTTTAAAAGTCCAAAGAAAAACATTAGGGTTCCTTGAATCTGGGTAGTGGGCTACAGCAGTTTATGTAATTGGGTTTTGAACATTTAGTGACTCACCCACCATCATCAATTTGCTGCCAGCTCATAGCAGCCCTACAGCGAGAGAACAGTGCTACCCCGTAGAGCTTCCAAGGCTGTCGTCTTGCTACAAGCAGCCGGCCTCAGCTTTCCATCTTTCTCCCGAGGGGCAGCTATTTGAACCACTGAATCTTGCTGTTAACTTATTGTGACATCAGGGTTCCTTGTATTCACATAAGCACGAAATATTTTATAATTATTTTCTCAATTTTAAGTGGTTAGTTAACAAGGTATTTAAAGTATTCCTTTTAAAACTCAGATCAACTGATTATAGTTGCAATTCACTTAAAATAAACCGGAATTAAAATTTTAGATTTATACAATGATCAATTAAAGAGTTGTTAATCACATTAAAAGCACATTCATCATATAATTTGCAAAATCAAATATTTCTATGGTGCAATCAAAATTATTCCATTTACAATAAGGTGATTTGCATTTGACTTTGCTGGAGTATCTCTTGTATAAACCAGGGTACACCTGTTAATCTGGTTTTTTTCCTGTAAATCTTTCTTTCATTGCTATTAGTCTGAAGACAATTTAAGATGCACATTAAAGTTGTTACTTTGGAAAGGCCCTTTCCCCCCCTAAAGAACAAAAGTCTCAAAGCATTGCCCCAAACAGTTGTCGTTGTTGTTGTGTACCATTGAGTCAGAACCAACTCCTAGTGGCACTCCGGCAGGCTCTGGGCGACAGTAATTCACATGGGATGAGATTGTTCATCTTTTCCCCACGGAGCCCCTGGAGGATTTGAACCACGTATCTTTGGACTGGCAGTGCAATTCCTTACCACTAACCCACCAGAGCTCTCTAAATGAGATGGTCATATTCTTCACTCATATTTTATTGTTAAAATAAACCTCCAAATAAATCACACCGAAGATCTTGGTAAGGAACGTGGTTTGCTGCTATTAATAAGTGACCTAGGAAGTGAACTCGGTTTTACGTACTGTGCCATGTTGGCATCTGTGTAGCTCCGTCCATCACAGCCGGGGCGACTTCCCTTCTCTGCTCCGGTTCCCTGCTCCTGCTGGAGATTCCTCTGTGCCTCCTCCTTGTCTTTGGCTCGCTTGAGGCAGTAGGCTCTTTCCTGCTCGCGGATTTGTTGCTGAATTTCTGGGTAGCTCTGCAAAGCCTGGATCCTCTCGGCACGTTCTATCTCTTTACCATCCAGCCACTTCAATAAAACCACCACAACAGTACAGTTATTCAAAGCAGCCACTCAAATCAGTCCCTGGTTGACTTTGATTAGAATAGTTTAAACTTGGAAATAATAATGTACTATATTGGGTGGCCTGGTGGCAAGAAGCTGTGTTGCAATCTCAAAGGTACACATTTCGAGGCCACCAGCTGCCCCGTGGGAGAAGGGAGAAGGATGGGCAATCTCCTCCCATGTGATTAACTGCCTCTGAAAACCCAGCAGAGGGTCAGTTATGGGTTAGTTCCGACTCTATGGCACACAACAACAGCAACAACAACATATTGATGTTAGGGCTCTGGCAGCCTAGTGAGTAAAGAGTTGCACTATCACCCCAAAGGTATGTGGTTCGGGGCCAGCGGCTACTCTGAAGGACAAAGATGGCGAATATCCTCTCTTGTGATTTACACCTGACCGCTGGAGGATCAGCTGTAAGTTTATTCCAATTCTATGGTACATAGAAACAAGACAATCCCGGATGAATTGAGTCAGAATCTCTATTGTCACGGGGTCTGTAAGAATCTCCTGGGGATCTTGGCAAGGTGTGGATTCTAATTCAGTACATCTACTGTAGAAAGACAAAGTCTATGCACAAGTTGAACGAGAATGGCTTTGTTCATAGCCCTAAGATCATAAGATTTCAAAGACATAGTCACTAAAAGTCTAGAGTTGAATCGCGTTCCCCCTTCTTTCAAGTTCCCGGTGAAGCACCTTCCCTACCCCGTCCAGCCTGCAGGTCTATCTGTGTATCCACGCAGAGATCACCATCATTCCTCTCATGAAGGATCGTGTGTAAAGTCCAGCCTCCGTGGCCTTTAGCTCCTAAGCTCCTCTCAGGCCCTTCCTCTGCTCGAATCACTGTGCTCACCTCTCCTTTATTGTATATTGCCTTTACCTTTTAGCTTCAAAAAACCAATAAACACATTTTAAAAGGAAGACCATCAAAGAGATGGATTAACACAGTGCCTGCAGCAATGGACCTGTGCACGGTGGACACTGTGAGGACAGGGCCAGGTTTCCGTCTGTTGCTCGCCGGGTCTCTATGAGTCGTAGGGGACTTGATGACTCCTAGCACCAGCTGTTTATAAAGAGGCTGCTATTGACCGCATTTGTTAATTCTGAGGAATCTTTTTCTGAAAGGAAATAATCAGAAGCATCAACATTAACCCAAAGAGAATCTGTGAGTCCATTGTGAAAGGTGAGGAGAACCTCTGGAATCTGACATACAGAGCCTGTTCTACCTGGGTCGGTCACCAGGTGTGCCAGCTGGAACAAGAGCTTCAACTGAGTTCTGGTTCACTCTCCTGGAGAGGGACCTCATCACTGTCTTGCTAGACTCCAAAAACACTAGTTCAGTGGGCATAGTGAATTAAGGAAGGAGTCCTGGTGACAGTCGTTAAAGAATTCAGTTGCTAGACAAAGGTCAGCAGTTCTAAACCACCAGATCCTCTGCTGGAAAATGATGTGGCCAATTACTTCCATAACGAGATAGCCTGGGGGGGGTCCTGCTCTGTTTTATAGAGTTGCTATGCATTTACAAGGATGGAGGAACTTCCTCTCATACTTTGGGCATGTGGTCCTTCCAGAAAGACACCATGCTGAGAAAAGTGGAGGGTCAGAAACAGAGAGGAAGACCCTCAAAGAGATGGACTGACACAGTGATGGTATCAATAGGCCTGTGCATATCAGAGCGTGACGACGGTGCAGGACGGAGCAACGTTCAGATCTTCTGTTCATCGGGTTGCTATGATGAGTCATAGTCAACCTGACGGCACCTAACAACAGCCACGCACTGCAGTAACTCAACAGCAGTGAGTTCGGGCTTTGCCTTTGGTACAAGAAGCTAAAACCAAGAGACTAAACAGAGAGATTGCTCTGCAATGAGGAATCCAGTCCAGCAATGTCAGCCTCATCTGCGAGTTTGTTGGAAATGTCAATTCTCAGATACGAGGTCAGTGCAAAGGGCCCAGGTGCTCCACGGTTGGGGTTTGGTGAGCCTGCCAAGTGTTCTAACATATCTGACAGCCACTGACACAGAAAGTGAATTATAACTGTTACAACCTTAATAATGACAGCAAAGTTACTGTGTGTCCTTCAAGTTGGTCCTGACTCACAGCGGACTCTCCGCTGGTTTTCAGAGATGGACTCTCCGCTGGTTTTCAGAGACCGTACACCGAACAGGAGACTGTTCACCTTCCTCTTGTGAGGCAGATGGTGAATTCAAACCACGTGCTTCTGGGCTGGCAGCACGATTCCGATGTATCTCGAAGACGGTGCAGCCAGAGTGCTCTTTTGAGGCAAAGATGATACAGCTTCACCTCACACACTTCAGGCATGTTACCAGGAGGGCCCTATTCCTTGGAGAGGGACATGACGCTTGGAAAAGCAGAGGGTTGACGAAGGAGAGGAAGTGCCTCGACCAGGTAGACTGACACAGTGACTGCAGCAAAGAATGGCTTTGAGTGTGTCAGAGATTGTGAGGTTGGCACAGGAGAGGTCAGAGTTCAGATCTCTTGTTCGCAGGGTTGCTGTGAGTCGTACTCGATTCAATGGGAACCTAACAACCATACCAAGCCCGGGGAACTCCCTAAGAGCACAGTCATCTAACCCCTACTGGTCTACTGTGGTGGGCGCCATCAAGTGGTTCCAACTCAGATGGACCCTAAGAAGCAGAGCTGGACTGCCCCCCTGCCCCCAATCTGTAAGGAAGATTTTTCACAGTCGCTCGGCCACGTCTTTCCCCCCAAGAGTCGCTGGTGGGCTTGAAACACAAACTTTGCAGGGAGTAGCCTGGAGCTCTAACCAGTGCACCACCAGGGCTCCTTCCATCCTCTGCTGTCGCTGCCTCACTCGCCTACACGTCACCTTGTTATTATTAATAATGAATGTATGTCAGAATAAGGATGTGAACCCATTGAGAAATAATCAAGTGAAATTCTGTATGTTCCTAATAATAGAGGCGGAAATGGCATAATTTATTTTGCAAAGATTTATTAAAACAATTTGAAAGGAGCCGTAAGAGCAGACAAAGAATTTGTCTGAATTCTCTGGAATGTTCCACCCTCGTGACATTCCACACCCCTGGCCGGCCATGAGCCTGTCAAGAGTCACTTCAGTCGCTCTTGCCCACTGCTCTGTGGCCGTGCTCCAGCCGGGCAAGCCTACCTTCAGTTGTTGAAGGGTCGCCACCACAAACGGGCGGTAGCCCTCGAAGTCAGCACAGGGGTTCCCCATGAGGAAGAGTTCCCTCAGGTGGATGTTACCCTGCAGGGCTTTAATGCTGCTCAGCTCCCCAATGAAATTGATGGTGAGATCCAGCTTTGTCAGCTCTTCACATCCTGTTGAGAAAAATGAAAAGAAAACAAAGCAAAGGGGGGAAAATATTAAAATCCCAGTGGCAATATAAAGCGCATCACAGCTCGTCACAGCATTTAACAGTTGTGATTTTTAAGTCTGTTGACTGGTTGCATTGCTTGTCTCAGAAAACACCTATCCGGTCATTACCGCTGACAGCAACTGCCCATCGGGTTTCAAGGCTGCACATGACAAGCAGAGGGGACTGCCCGTCTTCCTGTCACAGAGCTGGCAGTGGGGCTGAACTGCCAGGCCCTGTGGTCGCTGGGTTACCAGGCACCTCACTGTGGACTCCACCGCCAGGGCTCGCCACTGCTTGTCTCACATCTCACTGCCCCTGAGCGGAGTCGGCTCATAGCCAACCCTCCATTGCATTTCCGGGGCTATAATCGCACAGGAGGAGACTGGCCTGGCCGTCTGTCCCCCTCAGAGCCTCCGTCAGATTAAAACTGCAGGAGCTCAGCCTTGGGAGCAGCAGAGAGCACCCTGTGGACTAGACCGCCCGAGAGAACTGCTTATCTGGGAAGGTTTCCTCCAGGGATATCAACTTACAGGCTTCCTCTCAAGTCATCTTTCTGTCTGCATCTGTCCTGGTGTCAACCCCTCAGTGTCTCCAGCCAGGAGGGATCTGCCAGCCCTGGGCTGACTCGTGTTTGGATTCGGTCCACATCTGGCAGGAAGAAAGTCAGTAATAAGCTGCTCCTGGAACAGCTGCTACATCAGAACACAAAGGTCCTCTCGTTACAAGAGCACGTGGAGTCTGCTCTCTATAGAGAACTGCCATGTACTTGGACGCATCCTGGAGTGAGGGCAACAGTGGACAGCGTCCCCACACTTCAGGCATTTTATAAAACCACTGAGATGCAACTTACCTCAGCTAGTCACCTGAGAGAAAGGGCAAGGGATGGAGGGGAAGAGAGAGAGACAGAGACAGAGAGAGAGAATTCAGCAAGAACTGAACTGCAGGTAGCAAGGAAGCTGGAGGAGAGGGGCGGCGGTCATCTGAGCAGTGCACAGGAAGGGCTCAGAGGCTCAGAAGCAGAGCTGTGTGTCTCCTATTTATTAGGGAGACAGTGAAGAGCTGAGAAAATACAACTTGAACTTGAATTCACTCTCCTCAGTCTCCGTGGTGGCTTGGTAGTTAGGGGTGCACCTTCTCACACACTCAAACACAAGCTCTGTCCACTGTAATGGCCTCGGGACAGCCATATATCAAAAGCAATGATTGCAGTTAGATCTCTCTGGCCCTGATTACTAAATAGCATTTTCCACTGAAGGGAGCCAGGGATCCTTAGAAAAATGTCTGATCCCTGAATGGACAGAGTGAGAAAGTAAGATAAGTCTGGAAAATTCTGATGTGCCATAAAGCAATGAAACACTGAGAGAACGTATGACAGGGACATGTCAAAACTCAGAAGCTGACTTTAGCAAGATCAGCCGGCCAGTGTCTGCATCAAATTAAGGAATCCATTGAATAAAACCAAGTATGTGAGGCCATACTAAGCACACTAGCATAATAAGCTCCAACTCGTCACAGCCCTCCATTGTGGCCGAGGCGGTTAAGTCCTAACAGGAGCAGACTGCCCATCTTTCTCCCTTGAAGGTGCTGGTGGATTTGAACCACAGGAGACAGGAGGTCTCTGGGTCAGCAGAGCAGCATTACTGCAGGCAACACCACCAGCGCCCCTTGGTAGAATGAATAATTGACAAGCAAATGAAGAGAAGAGAAAGTTGTGGCTTACAAGTGTGTGACTTGCACAAATAGCAGAATACTGATGGAGTCTCAAAATCATTGCCGAGTGCTAAAGCTAGTGCACGAGGCAGTGACGAGCAAGGCGGTGGTTCTATCAAGCCAAAGCCCTTCCCACAGATGACTTCTTCCTTCCAAGGTGAAGAGTAGTAAATTGGCAGTGAGAAATCAGAAGGTACCACCTTAAAATCAGCAGCAAAAGAAACTAAGGAGCTTTACTTTGCCTGATCAAATCCATAACAGGAAAGGATAAAAGAACATTAGCTTTTTTCAGGACTTATTTTTTAAAAAAAGAAAAAAAGTGACCGCTCTCAAAATGATACTGGGATTTACTGAAAGAAATGGGATGGGTTCGTGCATCCATGCCTCCTCTCACCTCAAACACTTAAACAGAAAAGGACTTATTTTCCAGCAGGTGAGATACATCCTTCTTCTCTCCTCTTCAACGCACACAAAGACATGGTCAAAGCACCCAGTGCCCACTGCATCCGCGGCTTGGGCTGGACCAGGACCAGGCTCAAAGCAGCTCAGGCAGAAAATAGTGACGACGCTGCCCTCTAGTGGTAGATTCGCAAAATCAAGTGTTCACAGTAAGGAGCCCTGGACCTCCGAATCCAAGGGGCTTCTGAATTGTTTCTCTGATACTTTGCCCAGCCACGTCTGGCAGGAATAGAGGGAGTTCTGCCATGCTGTGTGTCCGATGAAGACACACTCAGAGCACTGCCGAGAGAGAGCTGGGAGGGAGCGGGGGTCTCCTTTCCTCATGTAGAAAGATGCCAACAATGGAAAGAGTGGTCTGTATTGGGGCCCAGATGGTGGTGCCCGAGCTTTGATGAGAGTGATTGTCTAGGTTCTGAGGATGCAAATTAAAAACTTAGCGTGTATCTTTATGTGATGCATAACCTTGCTGGTCACAGAAATAAGAGTTTCTGCCCTGGGAAGCAATAGGTGTAGACCCCCAACCCTCCCCACCCCCCACTCCCATAACCTGAGCTCAGTCCTCCTATTTTAGCAACTGGCAGATGGGAGGGGGGTGGCACAGCAGCTTGACGCCTCTGCTTTGTGCCCCTCAAGCTGAAGCGAGGCCTGTCGACAGGCCACCCACTCCCAGAGTCCATGGCAGCCCCCGCAGGCAAGGAGCCAGCCCTCGCAACTGCAAAGGGAGCCCACACAGCCTCAGAATCAGCCACATGCTGGGGTGCTGGGGACAGCAGGGGCCACTGGGCACTCCCAGGAAAATCAGAGCACAAAGAAGAAGGCTGCAAAGCAGCATGGGAGACCATGGATAAAGAGAGATGGTTCTGGAAGCTGAAGAGCATCCGGCAGAATATGTTCTAACAGGAATCTCCAGGGAGACCAAGGAGCTATCTCACTGTGAAGTCACAATGTTGTTGTAGTTGTTGTTGATCACCTTCGAGTCGAGCATGACTCATAGCGACCCTATGAACAAAAGGCCTGAAGCCCCTCTACAACTATGGATGTTTATCAAAGTTCATAGAGTTTAGGGATGTTGCTTAGGAAGCCACTCCTGCTTCCAAACCTGTCATAGTATGTTATTGTTGTTATGTGCCATTAAGTCGCCTGTGATGCATAGCGACCCTATGCACAGCAGCTCTGAACCCTTCTCTGTCCTGAGCCAGTCTCACTCATTCCGACACACCAACCGCCACTGCCCCAGTTACGGGATCAATGCATCTCATCCAGGGTCTTCCTCTCCTGCACTGTCCGTCCACCCTTCCAAGCATGATGTCCTTCTCCAAGGACCAATCTCTCCTAGCCACGTGCCCTAAATGATGTGGAGCTTCAAAATCGAGCCTCCAAGGAAACACTTGAAAGTCACAATAGATTCAGAAAAGCAAGCAGCAGGCAGAGCATAAGAGCAGGTTCTTGGGAATGAACAACTGGCCAAAATAAGGAGTTGACTGTGGAGGGATCAAACTCTAGAATGAGCACAGCAGGGAGCAACAACTGTCTTCCAGGAAGGCAAATAGAGAACTCCTGGAATGCAGACCAACAAGACCAACCAGCCAAGCCAGCTGTATCTGAGGATTCTGACTCCCACCAGCCCTGCAGGACGCAGGAGATTGTCCTACGGGGTTTCCAAGCCTGTGCTTTGTGCAAGCAGACCGCCTCATCTCTCAGAGGCCAGCAAAGGTCTCGGGCCACTGCACCATCAGACTCCTTTACAATAACAAGACGAAGACGTCCCAAAAGAAGGCCTGAGTTGAAGGATCAAGGAAGAGCCAAGGGCTCGAGCCACTGCACCACCAGGCTCCTTTAGAATAAGAAGACAAAGACATTCTAATAGACAGGAGGCCTGAGTGAAGAGTCAAGGAAGAGCCAGACTGTTGGTCAAAATTCAGCTAGAGACAATCAAAGAACACAGGTGGAAAAGTTATCTAGACAAAAGAAAACAACAAAAGCCTCATCTAAGCAGACCTTTGAGAAGTTTCAACACACTGCGGATGGACATAAAACTCTGAAAGTGTCTGAGAATAAAGGCAGATTCCCTACACTGGAGTCACTTGACGGCACATAACAACAACAAACAACAACAAGCTAATGAACACTACGAGAAACATCAGAGAAAACTATAGCAGGGAATCATGTAGATTGGTATGAGAATTAAGAGAATAAAGAAAAGGAACTCCATGAAGTAACTTGTCTTGTCATTTGGATCAACATGAGACATAATAGCCTGCTTTTATAAAACTAACAACGTAGCCATCCACCACAGCCTATGTGAAAGCAAAATAAAAATGGCAGCACAATGGTGAAGGGAAGAAAAAGAGGCAGATTAATAAAAGTTCTTACATAACATTGGAAGGAACCCTGAGGTTCAAGGGTTACACACTCGGCTGCTGACTAAAAGGTTGGTGGTTCAAACCTACAAGCTGCTCCATGGGCGAAGGACAAGGTGCTCTGCTTCCGGAAGAGACAGCATGGAAAACACAATGGGGCAGTTGTACCCTGGCCTGTAGGGCCGCGATGAGTTAGGGTCACTTGCAGGGCTGTGGGGCTTTGGAAACCTAAGGTGATGGAATATCTCCTGAAGGAGCTAAGGTTTAAAAAAGTAAACTACAAACCCTCAAAAAACAAAATGAAAAACAAAACACCAACCCACTAAAATGATCAGGGAATTGTCGCTAATAAAACAAGAAATTGTTGTCGTTAGGTGGCTGAGACAACAAGGACGCCCAGGTGCCATGGACAACACCTCTGCACCTCACCTCGCCCCGCCCTGCACTATCCACGTGATCTCTGACGTATTTGAGCCCGTTGCTACCACGTCCGTCTATCTTGTTGAGGGTCCTCTTGTCTTCTGCCAAGCCTCTACCTTTTCATTTCTAAGAACTGGCCCTTTTTGACAGCATGCCCAGATTATGTGAGATGGAGTTCCACCACCCAAAGAATGCAGGGAAGCATCGCGTCGGTAGGAAGTAACTGAAGATACCGTGGCTGGGATCAAGGGCACAACAGTCTTTAAACTGACATTCCTGCTCGTCAGCATTTTAAAGAGGTCCTTGATGGCAGATACCCTCAATACAATATGTCTTTGATTTATTTTTTTTATGTCTTTGATTTCTTTTTTTTTTTTTTTTTAGATACTTATTTGTTTTATTGACTGTTGTTGTTAGGTACCATTGAGTCACAATCAACTCACACCTGACCCTACAGCGTGTTTCCAGAGTCATAAATTTCACGGGAGGAGAGAGCCCATCTTTCTTTTACAGAACAGATGGTGGATTCAAGCCACATGTGTCTGGGTTGACAACACAATTTCTTACGTTTTTTTTTTCTTTTTTTTTATGTGTTCATAATTTCTTTTTTTATGTCTTTGATTTCTTGGCTGCTGCTAATACAAGTACCAATTGTGGATCTAAGTAAAATGAAATTATTGACAACTTCAATCATAATTCTGAAGAAATTAGATAAAATTAAGTCATACACTAAAAAAAAAATCTCGTATTCCAAAAGAAGGCAGAAACTGAGGATAAAAGCAACAAAGAAGAGATAAAACAAATGAGGAAAAACAGCAAGAGTAGATTTGAACTTAACCATATGAATAATCATATACCTGTAAATGGCGAAGTGATATTAGTGAAAACTGGGAAAGTAGAAAGGATTTCCAAAGATTCTCCCCTTCATAAAAGCAACAAAACCCTGACAAAAACAGTCAGAATCCTCGATCTCAGGTCATGGGGGTAAAATGAAGACTTAGCGTGGCCTTGGAAGCATTTACTCAGGAAAAATGGCTGACTCTGTACATGAAGAGCACAGTATGAGGTCTGCACCCACTCTAGTCTCATCTCTCGCTCACCAGCTCTGCAGGGGTTTTGAAGAACCACCACCAGAATTTTCACTTCAGCCTAACAGACACCAGAAGGCACAGAGAAGCCGGAGTGCCTTCAACACTTCATCCTCAAAGAATTATCAAGACGTGGCCTGTACTGTCAGAGGGCTCAGCTGTTGACTGAGACGGAGGTTCAAATTCACCGGCTGCTTTGCAGGGGACAGAAGAAGCAATCTGCTTCCAGGAATATGCACAGCTGCGGGCAGCTCTGGAGCAGTTCCTTTACGAACTGCACGGTCACCGTGAGTTGGAGCTGACTTAACCACAACATTTTAGAAACTAACCCAACAGAGACCAAAGCGGCAACACAATGAATGTGTGATCTACAGAATTAGTTCAGGAAAGTCACTGAGCAACAATTACAACAACGACTCCCCGAGGACTTGAGCGTTACAGTCTTTCCAACGTCCAATACTCAACAAAATATTGCAATACTCAAAGAAACAAGAAAAATGGCCCATCCCAGAAAACAATGCTTAACTCAATCTATTTCCAATCATCCCATCATGGACTCTTTATCCCATTCTTAAATATCAAAAGAATAAGACAGAGAAACAAGTTCACAAGGAAAAGCTCTCTAATAAGATGTATTTCTTCAGGGAAGACATTAATTTTCACAGTTTTACTTCATAAAATGGACTCATTTATACAAAGCAAAAAGAAACAGAGCCACCTTCTAAATGCACCTTGAATGTTAACACTGGTTACCTCTGGAGACGAGGCTGCATTCAGAAAGGATGACTGAAATGTACTTTTATTTTTACAACCACCATTAATAAAGAAAAGATGTAAAGTGGTCATTTGAAAAACATATCTATTACTTAAGCAACACTATTCAGATATCATACAAAATTCCAGTTCTAATTCATAATCAGATACAAGAAGGAAGTTCTTACCTTCCAAATTCTCAATTTTTTCGATGTTGTTTAAAGCTAAATTCAAATATTCCAGTTTCTTGAGTTTGCTAACATTTTCTGAAACATAAAAACAATGCAAAGTGTCGGTCCTCAAGATAAAGAATACTTTCCCACAAACAATCGGTGGTGAAAATGTTACTGAGAAAACAGGGATGAGCGTACTGGTTATCAGAATTGGTTTAGCAAAGCTATATCCCGCCAACAGACTAGCTGCCTAGGAAGCACCATTCCTTCTCCATCCCTGTTAACGTCAAGTGTCTCTGCTCCTGTCTCCACTCAGCCCCAAGCCAGCCAGAGTGTGGCAATCTCCCCTCAGCCACCAGAAGCTTGGGCACCCAGGCAGATGCCAGTCCGCCCACGGCTACCACCTGGCAACCATGGCATTGGCATGCACACCAAGAATCCCAAAAAGAAGAAGGGAAGATGAGGCGACTCATGGCAACCCCTTGTGTGTCCGGGTAGAACTGCACACCAAAGGACTGTGTCCATGGCTGATTTCTGTTTTCTAGTTTTACACTGGTTTTCATACAAAATTCATATACATTGTGTGTCATTCATATACATTGTGTTTCACACATTCCTTCATTCATACTGTGTTTCATATGCTCGTTCTCATACGCTGCATTTTATAAAATGATTCATCATCTATCTATGCCCACTATTACCCCACCTTTCCAGGTCCCCAATGGAGGTTTCCTAATTCCTTCACCCTCTCCCTCCACCCAACCGAACTCTGTAATTTTCCCCGCTCCCTAACCTCATCTTCCCTCCCTGCTTTGGACTTTTATATACCTCTTATTAATTATCCTTTTGTTTTGCCAATAATGATCTTATGCAGTATTTGTCCTTATAAGACAGAGTTACTTGACTCCTCATAACACTCTTCAGCCTCTCCTGTGTTATACAATGTTTTTGAAATTGTTGCTCCTGAGTGCTGTATAAATTGTGGTACAGTCACATGGTGAGAAATTGTAGTGGCTGATTTTTAAAGAAGTAGGGCATCATATCTTTCTTCTGAGATCCTCTGGGTAACGTTGAACCTAGCGGCCAAGCATGTGAGGCATTTGCAGCACCAAGGGTTACTATTTTTTATCATAGGGCAGGCATAACCATTCGCCTCTCAAAACGGCGATTGACTCTAAAAAGAATAAGGATTTTTTTAAATAAATTACTATTGTTTTCCTCAGTAATTAATATTACTTATGAGTCATACTAAGTGATTCTCTTGACAATATCTCGGTATTTGATGGTCAAGAGAATTGAAGACCTTCTATATACGAATTCTTCTACACTTCTTTAGTAAAAACACACTGTCAGGTTTGCTAAAATTCCCAGATCATAATTAAATACTGTTCAAAATAGATTCTTTCTGACCTTTGTTATATGTATAGTTCTTTAAATGCAAGAAGACTTCTCTAGTGTTGTGTTTGTTTGTTTGTTTAAAGAAAGAGAGCAATTTGTCTATTTGGGAAATACTCCTGGGGTGCTATGTTTACTTTCCTAGCCATCAGCTTGGCCTTTCTCCACATGACGGGGTGGGAACATGAACACAGGGTGTGTATAAACTAACTGTAATGGGATTTGTCAGTTTTCCTGTCCATCAAGTTTGCGTTGAACAAGAATAGCAGGAGAAGACGAGAATCGTGAAGCAGCAGCACAGAATGTAGCATGCATCTTTCAGGGCCAGAGATTCCTGTGCCAGTCAGACATGAGATAGAGCTGCCTCACAGAGGCAGAGCCAGGGGCCTCCACTCAAGCTTGTGGGGGAGGGAGGAGGGATTGAGGGGAGATGCAGTCACTGGCAGGACTAAAGAGGGGCTTCAGGCCTTCTGTTCATAGGGTCGCTATGAGTCATGCTCGACTCAAAGGCAATCAACAACAACTACAACAACTACAACAACAACAAAAAAACTTTCTAACAAACTTTTAAACACTGATCTAAGTATCGAGGGTGAAGGTCAAAGACCTGTAAGCACGCCTGGGAAGCTATCTTAGTAGAGGCAGTGTGTCCTGCGGCCAGCCTACACTGTAACCTGTTCATTTCCCTAGTGAACCCCGTAACAGTACGGCTGAGAGATCTCCGTGGTCACTGCAGGTCAGCAGCAGAGCCTTTGAGTCAGTGCTGGGATGAGCATAAGCAGGTGCGAAGACATGGAGGCCGTTCTGACCTTATGAGGATTTGGTCTTGTGGATGTTGCCTGATGGAGACAGTGCTCCTTGGCGGAGTAAGTGGAGGTCAGGCGGCACCATCCTCATGACAGCCCAACTCTTTGTACGATTTCCTACTAAGTTTGCTCCTCGAGAATAACAAGGACCAGACTGAACACAGGAGTGGGGAAAAATCCTTTCTAAGTAAACATGTTTAGGACAAGGTGAGTGGTAAGAAGAGTGCCTGATCACTCTAAAGCAAATCAACCAGAAGCTGTTCTCACCAACTGACTTAACTAGATGGACAGCTTTGTAGTGGGCAGAATCCCTTCCCCAGTTCAAGAAGCTCTCAGCCTTACGCAGGCTTAACACTCATGGGGAAGCTATTAAAAACTAGGAATCTCTGGAGCACACCCCTCAAAGTTCCCTTTCAGGAGATCTGGGGTGAAGTCTAAACAGAACCTAGAGGGTCTTCATGGCCACGTGCGTCCACGCCAGCACAGCCGTTCTTCACAGCCCATCTGCCTCTCGCAAGTGGGACCTCAACTTTGGGAAGGGCTCCTGTTTGCAAGCTTCTGTCTCCACTGCTCAAGAGCAAGTCTGAATCCCGGAGAAACACTTCTACTTGCTAAATAAGCTCCTACATGTCTCTGGGTGGAGCGGTGCTGAAAAAAGTCCCATTATTAGCGTTAAAAGAGTGTTTAATTTAAGACTACGTTGGAAGCAAAATTCTAAGCTTCCTCTGAAAGGGACTGAAATGCTATGCTACTAATTAGCAATTGTGCTGGACCCAGCTGCAGGGATGAAAATTCCAGGAACTCTTTCAGAGCCGTGCAATTAGGATGGATCTCAAATGCCCCAAGCAGGAAAGCTGGTGGTTTTCTCCAACGCGGCCTCTGTAATTGAACAATGTGCCAGAGGTTCTAATTTCTGGTAAAGGAAAACATGCCAAAAATAATTCCCTTAAGAAATGCAGAGGATTTTTAGTAAAGCCTCAAAAAAACATGCAAAGTCTAGGTTTTCTTACCACCCTTGGGCCTGTGTTCAGTCATCCCGGAAGCAAGAGGCCATGTCATCACTCAGCCTCAGCACTTCAGGCATTTCGGAGACCTGCCGCCCTTCACCGGGAGGTGTTGAAGATCATCTCAGAAGCTGACTGGGGCCTCCTGTGAAATCCACTCCTTATCTCATCAACCCGCAACTCCACTCTTTTCCTGCCAACTCTGTTCTGTTGTGCCTTGATTTGAACAGCCTAAGGCAATCAACACTCTTGGTACCAGCAGCCAGGAAATGAAAAGAGAATTGCATTGGGAAACTCTGCTGTCAGAGACCTCTCCAAAGTACAGAAGAGTAACAATGTCATTCTGGAGACTAAGGTGTGCCTGATCCAGGCCATGGTCTTTGCAAGTACTTGCTGTGCGTCAGAGAGCTGGACAGTGACTAGGCATGATAGGAGAGTTGATGCCTTTGAGCTGTGGTGCTGAAGAGGAGTACTGAATATACCATGGACTGCCTGGAGAACAAACAGTTTCGTCCTAGAGAGGGTGATTCTGAAGCTCTGTCTGACATACTTTGGACATGTTGCAAAGAGGGACCAATCCTTTGAGAGGGATGTCATGCTTAGGAGGGTAGAGGGAGGGACAGCACAGGAGAAGAAGACCCTCGATGAGATGGATTGATTCAGAGACTGGGGTAATCGGGCATAAGTGTGTCAGAGACAAGGAGATTGGCACAGGACAGAGCAGGATTTAGAGCTGTTGCACATAGGGTCGCTATGAGTCACAGGCGGCTCGACGGCACATAACAACAACAGCAATAACAACAAGGCATCCTGAGTGAGCCCTGGTGGCTCACTGTGATAAGCACTCAGATGCTAACTGAAGGTGATGCCTGGAGTCCACTATCTGCTCTAAGACTAAGGTGCACTGATTCCGGCCATTGTCTTTTCAATCACTTGTTATGATCTGAGAGCAGGACAATGAACAAGGTTGAAGACAAAGAATTGATGTCTTTGACCTGTGGTGCTGGAGTGCTGAATGTCCCATGGAGGCCGAGAACACACAGGCATGTCTTGGAGAAGGTGGAGCCGAAGTGCTCTTTGGAGGCAAAGGTGACAAAGCTTCCCATACTTTGCCTCTCATCCTTTGAACATGTTGCTAGGAGAGGCTATTCCTTGGAAACGGACATCATACTTGAAAAGATAGAGAATCAGCAGAAGTGGTGAATGTGCTCAACGTGATGGACTAACAGTGATTGTGTCGATGGGCTCAGATGTGTTGAAGACGATGAGGGTGGCACAGGGCAGGACACGGTTCAGGTCTGTCGTTCACAGGGTCACTGAGCTGTCCTTGACTCAGCAGGACCCAACAACAGCAATGTGCTCTCAACCACTATCTGTTTTTCAGCAGAAAGATGTGGCAGTCTGTGTCTGTGAAAAAGAGTCTCTTCTGTAAGACAGAGTAGAAGGGACTTTTTAAGGATGCTATGAGTCAGAGTCACCCGGACAGCAGCAGAGGGCTGGGCGTACCCTGGGGTAAGAACTGTGTCACCCACTGTCACTTAGGGCCACTTCCTATGTGGCATCAGAAGAGAGGCCAGCGATCTACTTCTAAAACTCCAACCACTGGAAACCTTGTGGAGCACACAGGTCTGCTCTGTCAAACACAGGTCACCAGGAGCAGGGACACAGGCTGAGCCTGCGTGTCAGGCATAGTCACTGTGTACAGATGGCAAAACCACACTCGGACAAGTTAACTGGTTTGCTGTCTTTCACACTGCAGGCAAGTGGCAGAGGAAGAGATCAAACCCAGGCCTGTCTACTGGTAAATCGTGTCTGCTCTGACCTGGAAGCCACTGTCGCTCTTCTGAAGGTGGGGATCATGTGGTCCCCCGTCTGTGCTTGTCTGTGGCAGTAACTCCTCCGTTGGACTGACTGTGTCAGTTGCCCATCTCTCTGCTCTCACACCGTCTTCCCCAGCGGAGAGAGGCGCACTTACCTGGTTGCCCTTGCTCAGTCCCACCCTGTCTTGTGGCTTCCTGGGGTCCTCCTGCCAGCTGAGAGAGCACAGGGTCTCCACAAACCCTCCCCCCTCAAAACAAGGGCTCAGCTGGGTCAGGGAGGCTCTGCATGGGCCAAGTTATTATTGTCGTTGTTGTGTACTGTCAAGTCGAAACCGACTCATAACTGACGCTCTAGCAAATTTTCAAAAGCAGTAAGTCACATGGAGGGAGACTGCCCATCTTTCTTCCATGGCAGCTGGTGAATTCGAACTGCGTGCCTTTGGTTTGGCAGTACAAGTCCTCAACAGAGCTCTGTTTGGGATTGGGGGGGGACGGGCTTAATTCTAGGAGGTAGCAGCAATTCACAGGCCACACACATAAGGACATCCTCCAGAAAACCGGCTACAGTGCTGATAATCTGCTCTTCACCCACTGACTCCTTTAACACCTCTCATTTCTGTCCAAACAACAGCAAAAACAAGGACGGACTTCCTGGAACCACTCACCACCGTCCATGACCAATGCCTTGTGCACATTATAAGTAGACAATAAATGGGGCAGAACCGGCCTCAGAATCTAGGGCACGGCAGAGACGTGCTCAATCTCTACATCACCCTTTCTATGTGAAACCCAAACCACAGCCCGCTGCCCTCAATTCCAGATCATGATGACCCTATGCATAATAGAAAACTGCTCCTTTGGGCTTTCTCGACTATCACAGTCACAGAGGCAGATAGCCAGGCCTGTCTTCTGCAGTGCTGCTGGGTGAGTTTGAACCACCCACCTTTCATTTAGTGTCTCTATCTATATATCTATCTATCTATCTATCTATCTATCTATCTATCTATCGCTGCTCAACAGCTCTACTGCACACGGGGGGCTTTAACCAACAGTCTAAGAGACTGGCCAGACCACCAGTTCTAGAGGAAAGCCTTCTCTCTGTGTGTCTCCTGGTTCTAGGAGATTCCCAGAGCTGGGAACACCAGTTCAAAGGACACATTAAAGTGCCAGCTCTTCTTTTTTTGGTAAAAGTAGATCCCTTTTACTCTGTTCTTTTGTATTATAAAAGGTTATGAAGGCCATATCTCAGGGAAACACCTCTGTGTTGTGTGATCTGATTAAGAGTATCCCACGCCACACTAGGGAGCTTTAGTAGCCTAGCAGTATGAAGTTATGTTCCAATCTCAAAGGCACAAGATTCGAATCCAGAAAATTGCCCCAAGGGAAATGGGTGGACTATCTCCTCCCAGACAAGTAACTGCCTCTGAAATGGACTAGAGGGTCAGCTATGGGTTGATTCTAACTCAACAGCACACCACCACAATACCAATATGCCATCCTAATCCCCTTATATCAGATTCAGGTTAATCACTTCAGGTAACAGTGAGAGATGACTACATCATTACATAAGTGACATATTATATCAGATAACATTATGAAGGTTGACTATATCATTATATAATTCACATTGTGTCAGAAAACATTGTGATGGTTGAATATATCATTATATAATGTCACAATATATCAGATAACATTGTGAAGACTGACTACATCATTATATAACCGGCACATTATATCAGAGAACATGAAAGTTGATGATATCATTACATAATTGTCACATTATATCAGATAACATTATGAAGGCTGACTACATCATTACATAATTGTTATATCAGATAACATTGTGAGGGTTGACTACATCATCATATAACTGCCACATTTTATCAGATAGCATTATAAAGGCTGAGAGTACATCATTATGTAACTGTCACATTATATAAGATACATTGTGAAGGCCGACTACATCATTATATAATTGTTACATTATAGCTTTGCATCATTGCCAGAGCACTGGGGAACATGGCATGGTCAAGTTGACACATATTTTGGGGTGGCGGTTGAATAATGCATCTATGACACTCAGTAATCCAATAAACCTATTATCCCACTGAGAGACCTGGAAGGACATGAAGTTGTAGCATGTGACTGGACAATGTCCTCTTCCCTAATAAAATCATTGAAAGAAGCAGGTTACACAAGCAGGTCAATGAATGTGTGCCCTGCCTTGATCGGCTCCTCTGAGTACCTCAGTGGAGACCCTTTCCCATAGGAAGACTGACACCTTGGGGGAAAGCCCAGAACAATGCTTCCCATGCAAGTACACTGAGTAAGGCCTGTGTGGACACTCATCTAATTCATCTTCAGTGAGGTCTCTCTGTAAAAACCACACTGAAGTTCATAGGCCCGGGAAGAGAGAAGGAGGGGCCTCAAAATTAATACATAAACCAGCTGGGTGCAGGGAAAGGCCACCTGCAGTAAGAGTTCCATTAGTCATGTAGTCGAATGTCTGCAAATTAATGGCATTCATCAAATACAGTTGTTGTTATTATTACAAGACAAAATGTCTATAAAGAAATGAACAATTGAATGAAAAACCAATATGATTTGTCAACTTTCACTCAAAAAATTGACTGGAAAAAATTAAAATCACGCTGCATTTTCCCAAGTTGTCCCATATAAACTGTGAAAGAAACTCACCAATTTTTCCAATGAGATTATTCTGCAGGTAGAGGATTTTTAAGTCCCGGCACCATTTGTCAATATGTTCAAGTTTTTCTATTTCTTGCTGGTGTAAGGAGAGTTCCTCGAGGGAAAAAATGATGCAGTCGTTGTGTTCAGCGTTCCGTCGAATGAGGTCTTCTGTGACTGAAATAAAAGCGGGTGCAGATTACATTTCTGCCCCATTGTTCATCATCGGATTGTTAGGTTATCAGTGTATTTTTCTTTGCAGTTCAGTGACAGTTTTAGAAGCACCTTTGGGGTGAGAAGCACATAAGATCATTCTCCCTTCTCTTTTGAGAGTTCCTCAAAACAGTTTTCAAAAGAAAAGGTATAAAAACAGTTCTGCCTCCCACTGGAGAATTTGTGACACTGTGATGTTAAGACAGAGACGAGAAACAGCTCCCACACTCTTTGAGCAATGTCTTCTGCGTCTGGGCATACACGGGGTCTACATTTTTCTGGATGAATACAGAGAATTGATGGTGAGAGGACGAAAGGATGGTGATGCTGAACCTTGTGATAGTATCATGTCAAACTGGGAGATTGACTGGATGCACCAAGCCTAGAGTCATGGGAATCAGCAAGCAGTGGTCAGCGTCTAGCAACACCACCTGAATAGGTACCAAGACAGGACACACGTGGGCCAGTGGCAGAATTCTCACTTTCTCTGGGGGAGGGGGACCTGACTTTGATCACTTCGCACACAGTCACCACTGTGTGTGGGTGGAGTGTTATATGCTGCTAAGAAGCTAAAGCAATTTCAGCAGATATTCCAAACTAAGATGAACGAGGAAGAAAGAGCTGGTGAGCAGCTCAAGTCACCAATTAAAACTGCAGCATTTTCAATACAATATATTGGTTTCATCTGTGATTTATCATGGGGATGGCACAGCATTGGACAGGGGTTTATTCTCCTTGTGCAAGAGGTGGCCATGTAGCATAAGGCCATTTGAGGGCAGTTAACAACTGCCACTATTACTGTGTGACTGTAAGTTGTCAGATGGGGACACTGAGGCACAGAGAGCTTAAACAGGTTTCCTCGAAGCCACAGTGAAGTGGCAGGGCTATGTCTTAAGTACAGGCAATCTGTGTTCTATTTATTTTTCTTTTTTTAAAATACTTTTTTTAGTATGTGCTTTTATATTGATTTGCATACGAAAATTAACACGCATTGTGTTTCATTCATGTGTATTGTGCTTCACACATTCTTTCACTCACATTGTGGGTTTTTTACAACCAAACATTGTGTTTTCTGAAATCAATTACCATTGATCTACGCCTATCAGTACCCCATCTTCTCAGGTCCTCATTAGATATTCCCCATTCCTTCGCTCCCCCCATCTGCCTACTGAATGCAGATATAGTACTGATTGCCCTCTCCCTATTCTCACTCCCTTGCCCTGGCTTCCTTCTCCTTTTGGACATTTATAGACATCCTACTAGTGGTTCCTTGGTTTATACAATAATGGCCTTATGTAGTATTTGTCCGTGTAAGATGGACTTAGTTCACTCAGCATAATGCTCTCTAGACTGTCCCTGTTATGCAGTACTTTATGGAATTGTATTCCATAGTGTGAGTGTACCACAATGTCTCAATCCATTCTTTGGATGGGCATTTGGGCTGTTTCCATTTTCCTGCTATTGTGACTAACACTGCTTTGTTATTTTGACCACTTGACTGTACTGCCTAATTCTACCAACCATGGTATTTTCAATTGCTTTGTATGCATGTGAGAGCTGGACAGTGAATAAGGATGATGAAAGAATTGATGCCTTTGAATTGCAGTGCTGGGTAAGATTATTAAATATACACCATAGACTGCTAAGAGAACAAATAAATTTGTCTTGAAGGAGGTGCAAAGAAAGACGGAAGCCAAACCTATGGCTTCCATCAGATGCACCTTAGTCTTTAAGCTGATTTCCTTGCTCATGTGCACTTTAAAGAGGACCTTGACAGAAAATTTGCCCTAGATGGCACATCATTTTATTTGTTGACTGCTGCAACCATGGGTGTTGATTGTGGATTCAAGTAAAACAACAGTGGGTATATTGATCCATGGTGGCCTAGTGGCAAGAAGCTGCACTGCAATCCCAGAGGCACACAGTTTGAGGCCATCAGCTGTTCCATGGGAGAAGGATGGGCAGTCTCCTCCTGTGTCATTAACTGCCTCTGAAAACCCATCAGAGGGTCAGTTATGGATCAGTCCCAACTCAATGGTAAACAACAATAGCCTAGCCTAACATGAGAATGAATATGTAAAAAATCACTATTAATTTAAGGGAGTAGATGAGAAGTTCTTTAGTATAAATAACTAATTTCTGAAAACACACCCAGAAAAAGAGATGTAGAGTTCAGAACTCATTCAGCAGAGCAAGAAGCTTCGCCCAGCTCGGTCATTCTGCAGAACTCAGGAGAAAAGGGAACCTCTCCCAGGAAGCGCATGTACATGAGGGGCCTTCAAGTTAATCAGGACACATCACTACCTGGTGAGGCGCAATCTGAACCTTCCCGGCCTGCGCTGTCCTCACAGTCAGCATATGCTTGGACCCTTCGTTACAGTCACTGTCAATCCACCTCTCCACCTCCCCGATCCTTCCCTTCAGGCTTCTATCATGCTTCATGGTCGGAACTCCTCCCACTCTCAACCTCTCTCTTATTCAGAATGAAAGCAACAAATGTATGTTTATGGTAAGGTTTACAAGACCATCTTGCCAGACCCTTCTCTCTCTCTCTCTCTCTCTCTCTCTCTCTCTCTCTCTCACACACACACACACACACACAAACACACGAGATGAGTGAAGGTGGCAGTATATGACTTAACAGAAACTATGTAAACAGAGTTACAAAGAGATGAAGCATCTAAACTTTTTACTTTAATTTTGCCAATGGAAACTTCTAGAAGCAGGATTAATCACCCTCCTGTCTTTTCTCAATGACTCAGGGTCCCTATTGAGAGTGTTGATGTCAATACTGTAACAGATGACACTGTAAGGGCCCCTGACGTCGAGCACAGTTAGCCTGGGCAGAGCGCCAGGGCAATGACAGGCGTTTGAAGAAGGTACAACCAGTACAAAGGCAGGAGGGCTTGTGCTATTGAGAGGAAGGAGGTCAAAAGAGGCTTTCTGGAGGAGATACTAGGATTCCTGAGCAGAATCTTAAAACCTGCATAGATGTTTGCCAGATAAACAAGTCGGAAAAGGCCAACCCAGGCCAGAGCGGATGTGTGCCTCTCAGCTCTCCTTCCAATCTGAAGGATGAATTCCCATTGCTGGGCCAGACCTGAACTGTCTTCTTCCTCTGGAAGTGGTCTCAGTGGAAGATGCACCTCAGTCAAGGTCATGCCCTCTTCCCAGGGGGACCTATAGCCAATGGGGTAATATGAGGCAATGCAGGCCCAGGTCACACACTCCAACTATGAGAAATCAGAAAGTCCCTCCAGGCTTAGGGTACTTAGGCTTGACCAGACGAGGCTTTTGTCAAGACACAAATTATTAAGCTATTGGCTGCTAACTTAAGGGATGTTAATTCAAATCACAACATATCAGCAGTTTATTCTTTTGTATTGCTGACTGGCAGCTTTCCATTGGATGGATATACTACGAAATGTGATAGATGGAGAAAAGACTGAAACTGTAAATAACTCCATCTAGCTTGGATCCACGGTCAGTACCCTTGATACCAGCAGTCAAGAAATGAAAAGATGTGTTGCATTGGGGAAACCTTCTGTCAAGGATGTCTCCAAAGTGCCAAAGAGCAACAATATCACTGTAAAGACTTAAGGTGCACCTGATCTAAGTCCTGGTCTTTTTAATCACTTGCTATGCATCTCAGAGTTGGACAGTGAATAAGGATGACAGAAGAATGACTTTGAGCTGTGATGCTGGAGAAAAACACTAAATATCCCACAGACTGCCAACAGAAAAAATGTGGAGGAAGTGAGACCAGGAGGCAAGGGCAGTGAAACTTGGTCTCATTTGCTTTGGGCATGTTTTCAGGAGGGGTCAGTCTTTGGAAAAAGAGGAATGATGTCCTTCCCTTTCTCCCATGGACAGTGCAGCAGGGTGAGAGCAACTCTGCCTGTTTACAGCCTGATGTGCTGTGTGATACTGCGAGCCCTGGTGGTGCTGCAGGCTGTGCATTGGGCTACTAACCCAAAGGCCAGGAGTTTGCACCCACCAGACACTCAAAAGGAGCAAGATGGGGCAGTTTCTTCTCTTGGAGATGAACAGCCTTGGAGATCTCCACGAATCCCACCCCGTCCTAGAGCGTCAAAACCCACTTGGATGAGTGCGTTGGGTTTCTTGGTTTAACAGTGGACAAGGTGCTCAGCTCCCCTTGGTTCAAACTCCTCTGCAAAAGGAAGGATCTCTGTTAAAAGGACAACATGCGCCTCATCCAAGTCACGGTATTTCCAATTGCTCTGTAAGCATATGAAAATTTGACAATAAGTAAAGAAGGCTGAAGAATCGATGCCTTTAAATTGTGGGCCTGGCCAACAGTATGGAAAAGCCCAAACGGGCTGCCCAAAGAACCAGCGAGTCTGTCTCGGGGAAGTGCAATTCGAGTGCTCTTTTGAGGCGAGGAAGGAGACGCTCTGTATCACATGCTCTGAGCGTGTTGTCAGGAGGGTCCAGACCATGAAAGAGGACATCATGCTGGGAAAGGCAGATGGTCAAAGGAAGAAGTCTCTCAGGACAAACTGACGCAGTGACTGTCCCCATCAGACCGAGCACGGTGGAGACTGTAAGGACGGCACAGCACAGGGCAAGGATCTCAATTACTGTCCTCAGAGTTGCTATGAGCCGTGGCATGCTTGAAGGCACCCGCCTCCTGAGATCACTGTGGGGGCTGGGCGCACGAACACATTAACACAGCTCCTTAGACCACTGCAGTGCCCCCCTCCTCTCTCGGCAGCACGGGGACGGTCCCGCCACTGTCCAGCTGCCTCCGGCAGCCCACCAGTGTCAGGGCAGAACTGTGCTCCTGCAGGTTGTCAAGGCAGGAGTTTTCAGAAGGGCATCCTCAGGCTTTTAGTTGAGGTTCTTCTGGGGGAACCACCAACCTTTCAGTTAATCGCCAGGCACACTAAAGGTTTGCACCACCTTGTAACACTCGCTTTGTCTTTAAAGCAATACTACTCTTGCCCTGATTTGGAAGAAATGAAAACTAAGACCCACAGAAGTGGAGTCACTGAAGCCACACAGCTGGAGGGCAAGGAGAGCAGAGGCAGCTCTGACCTTGGTCCCCTCCTCCTGGAGCGGGCTTTCCTGCCAGGTCTGGGGCTGAAGATGCAAAGGCAGAAGCGAGGGACTCGCCCAGGACCACCCAGCAAACGGGACCTGCAGCCTGAGCCGGCAGCACCTGTCAGCACCCCTGCACCCCAATGCACGCCACTGCTCAGAAAAACTGGTTTCTTTCTTGCCTCTATTTTACAGATGGGGAGCCTGAGTCCATAAAGGCCAGTGGGCACCTGGCACTCGCCATCCAGTGGCCCTTTCCTGACTCCAGGGAGAGTACTGGACAGGCAAGGGTGGCCCGCAGCAGGGGAGGGTCCCAGTCACCTGCAGGGCGCAGAGGGAGTGTGGGGGCAGGGGACAGGGGAGTGGGAAAAGTGGGGGTGCTTACTCAGGCCCATAGCGCCTCTCCGGGGTGCAGTCGTGGGGCCCCACCTTGACCCCAAGGACACTCTTCACTTCTCTGTTCAGTTTATCCCCTTTAGCCACCCGGGAGCCATGGCAACGGAGACTCTACGGCAGCCGAGCAGGGTCAGGACGGTCGCGTTTTTTCTAAAGAAACTCCGCGCGGAGGGTGTTCCGGGTTCCCGCTCGCCAGGTCCTTCTTCATATCCTGTCCCTCAGCCCTGGCCTTCTGAGAAAGAGCTTCCTTCCCCAGCCCCCCACAATCAGGCAGACTGCTCCTTGTGTCTCTTTAACGCCTTCTAATGCACTTGATCCGTCTTCTCAATTGCTTGCTATGTGTCAAAAAGCTGGACGATGACTAAAGATGACAGAAGAATCACGCCTTTGAGTTGTGCGGCTGGAGAACAGTACTCCATGGACTGCCAGGAGAGCAAACAGGTCTGCCCTAGAGAGGGTGAAACCAAGCTGCTCCTTGGAGGCAAGGATTCTAAAGCTCCATCTCACATACTTTGTGCATGTTGCCAAGAGGGACCAGTCCTTGGAGAAGAACATCATGCTCGCAAGGGTGGGGGGACAGCACAGAAGAGGAAGACCCCAGATGAGATGGACTGACTCACTGACTTGGGTAGTGGGGTAGCTGAGTTGGAGACAATGAAATGGGCTCAGGGTAGAGCGGGGTTCATTGTCCTTGTTCATAGAGTCTCTTGAGTCTTAGTGACTGGATGACACCTAACGACAACAGCAGAGCTGGAGGGTCTGGGGTGGTCCCTTCCTCACAGGAGAGGGAGCGCTGGAGAACATTCCTTTGGGGGCTGCATTGCTGACCCAAAAATTGGGCTTCTCAGGCCTTGACCGATTAGAACCCCACAAGTCCTGGTACAGCAAGGAAGAACTTTGGATGATAAAGAAAAATTTAAAAATCAAGCCCACTTCCTTGAGTCAATTCTGACCCATAATGACCAACCATCAGGTTTCTGAGGCTGTAAATATTTATGGGAAGAGACTGTCTATCTTTCTCCAGTGCAGCTGGTGGATTTGAACCACTGGCCTCATCAGTTTGCAAGGTAGTATGTAATGTACAATGCCACCAGAGCTCCTTGGATGATAAGGCAGTGAAACCACGATTTGCTGGTAGCACCACGTCCTCTTGTCATCCATCCCCACAGCACAATTGGTGTTTCTCAGGCAGGGGACTCACGGGACATGGAAGACAGGTGTACAGCGTGCTGTGATTCTTCTGTTCTGTTAACAGGAGGGAAAATGGAGTAATTAATCACAATGTGACAATTCCAGTGGGGTCAAGAGCCTTCACTTCAATAGAGTCTGGTAGTTTAGAGTCATGGTATCTGTTTATGCAAATAGTTACTCAAGACAGGCTGCTGTGGAGAGGTGGTGCTTCCTGGTCAACTAGCCAGGGCATGTGGTGTGTTAAAGGCCGTAGGTCTTGGAGTGGGTCTGTGAAAACACCAGGCAATGCGCTGTCCTCTTGCTGAGTCTGTATGGGGTGAATTCCTTTAACAACAACTGAGAAAATGACCTAATCCTTTACCATTTTCATTACTATTTACAGTTTGCTCTTTTTATGATATGTAACTAATACTGAGGTTGCACTCCGACTGTACTTTGCATTCCTTTTTCTTGAGAGTACTTTCTTTCCTGTACCTTGAAGATGAATAAAATCAAGCATCCAAGTCTGTGACCAGCACTTCTCGTTTCAATCCCTTTCTTCTCTTCCTCCTTTATTTTCCCTCCTTCCTTCACTCCCCTCTCTCTCCTGCGCCTGGACCTTCCTCACCTTGTTACTTCTTTCCTTTATTCCTTCTTCCCTCCCTTTCTATTTTCTTTCCTTCCTACTTTTGTTTGCTCCCATTAGCAAATATTTATTGGCTGCTTTCTATATGCCTGGCCCTCTGAAGAGTAAATGAGTCAATGCAGTGAAAGACCTTGGAAGGAAGAGTGTATGGCACATAAGAAGCAGCCAT